TGAAATTGTAGGGTGTTAAGTTGTTAAGAGTTAAAAAGGGGGGAACCAGTTCAAATATATAATTTTAACCGATCAAAATATTCAACTGTAACTACATACAAAATTATTTAATCAATTAAAACAATTTTTCTTTCGATTTTCAGAGCGTCTTCGTTTTTGTTTTTTTTGTCCGTAAAAATTTTCGTTTCTGGATTTTTCATGTCGGGATTGCCAATAATTTGAAATTTTTTCACGCATGATAATTGTTGGACTACTGTTTTAATGCTAGTTCTCGGCTCCTGAATTTTGGCGCGTTTTGAGTTTCGGTATTTCCTCCAATTAAACAAAGCCTCTGAGTAAGTTATGGGGGTAACCTGTTTGGTCTAAGAACTCCACCTGTTTGGTAGCTAAGAGTTCTTCAGCAATTCTACCAATCTCCTTACCACATTTTTACAATTGCTGTCCTGCTGAGGAGTCCTTTTTGCATCCACTGCATGTAAGTTTATACGCCTTTTTGGATCTGAGTTCATGTGCAAAGGAAATTTGAGGGACGGCAAGCATGGTTTCAATTTTCTGTCAGTTAAAACAATTTGCGCCCCGTAAATTTGGTGCAATTTCATAGATTTCTTTTTTGTCAGATCCCTCGATTTCTTTATTGTCAGAATACAAGGCTCATTAATCGACCAGTTTTCATTTCCTTTTGTTAATAAGAGAGTCACTGAAATTTTTTTGCCTTTAAGGAACTTGTTATGAGATTCGGATACTATTCTTTCCAACCATTTTTTCGGTTATTTGTTTTTAAGCCTATGTTTCCGGTTTGTCTCACATCAAAATTTTTCCACGTTGAAATAGTTCAAAAACGCAGTAAACCGTTCATTAACTGACATTTTGTTTGTACTGCAAAATTTCATTCGCTTCTCAATTTAAGATCAGTCACGTTATCAGTATCTTTTGGTGTCACGCACATGCGACGTGTTCTGGTGGGTTAAAGTTTTAAATTGAACTCTGAAAGAACAAAAAATAGTTTACATTTAAGTTTGATACAGTAAAATGCAAACTTGGATGTAGTTTGTTCGCAGTCTCGAGGACTACCCTAGGATCGCCCCTCGAAAATCGAAGTTAAGTAAAATCGAAAAGTTAGTTTGAAGAAACGCTAAGCAAGATTTAAAAAAGAAATTTAAGGGAAAGTGAATAAAAATAAATTCTTACGTAATCTATTATATATTTAAATGCGGGCTTCACCATCTCGCCATGTTTGAGCTTTTTCAATGTATTATTTTTGCATGTTTCAAAAAAGAATTTTTTCACGTTTAAGCTATATCGTATTTTGCAACGGTTAAGATTTTTTTTCGATTTTCCTGTTTGAAATCAGTGTTTATTTCACCAAGTTTGAAAATAGCAACCCAATAGTGAGATGCTGTCAGGTTTTACCCGGATATTGCGATTTCGGCCTCCATATATCAATGAGCATATTCTTTTTGGTCACGAGATACGGCACTTTTCGAGATTTTTCAAAATTTTCTGGAAAAATTTAATTTTAAAAGTTTCTGAAATTTTTAAATCCACAATCCTGTAGTTGGAAACTGCTAGCGCACTCTCAGGAGTTGCGATTCTTGCCTCTGTATATGACTGCTCAAATCCTTGTAGTTTTCGAGATTTGATGTTTTTTAGGATTTTTTTCAAGATTTTTAAAAGAACTTAGATATAAATAATTTCACAATTTTGAAGTTCTGACCTCTATAGTGAGTCTGTCAGGGTACTCCTAGGAGTTTTGAATCTTGTCTCCAAATATGACTGCTCAAATCCTTGTAGTTTTTGAGATATGACGTTTTTTGTTATTTTTTCAAAAAAATTTCAGAAAACCTAAATTTATTTGTTTCTTCAAATTTTGAAGTTCCTAACTACCTGTAATTGGGGGCTGTCAGAGTACTCTCAGGGATTGCGAATCTTGCCTCCAATTGTGGCTGCTCAAATCTTTTGGTTGTTTTCGAGATATGATGTTTTTTTTCTGGTTTTTTCAAAAAAGTTTTTTTTAGAAAATTTAATTTTAAGTTTCTCAAAATTTGATATTCCCATCTCTGTAATTGGGTACTGTAAGAGCTCTCTCAGGAGTTGCAATTCTTGCGTCCAAATGCGACTGCCCAATTAGTTTTAGATTCCGAGAAGTGATGTTTCTTATTTTTTCAAAGATTTAAAGTTTTTCAAAGAACTTAGATATAAAAAACTTAACGGGTTTTTAAAAATTTGAATTGAAAAAACTTGAATAGATTTTTTTTCAAAATTTGAAATTGCCAACCCTGTAACTTGGTGCTTTCAGAGTACTCTCAAAGGATGCTGATTTTTTGTCCAATGTTTACGGTTTTTTATGAGTTGTTAAATATTCGAAGCACCGGAGGTGCGTTACACGCTAGTAGTGCTGAAATTTGATAAGTGGATAGATTTTATTTTTTGTTTAGAAGCATTTAATTGTTTTTTATGATGTTTTAACCTCTAATTCATTTGAAAAACAATAGAAATTGAACACTTTAATTGCAAAATGATAAGCAATAACATGATGCAAGAAGAATTTATGCAATTTTTATCTAGTATTATTTTTATTTACAGAATGCTAATGTGACAAAAATAACTTTATTTTAATAAAATTAAATTGTTATCACTATTTTCGTTCTTAGGTTGCCATAGAGAGATCTTCACTGTAGATCGAAAGAATATAATTATTTAGAAAAATATAATTTGTAATTGTAATATTAGTAAAGTGCTTTGTAGAGTAAGAATTGCAACTCCTGAGAGAGCTCTTACAGTACCCAATTACAGAGATGGGAATTTCAAATTTTGAGAAACTTAAAATTAAGTTTTCCAAAAAAAACTTTTTGAAAAAACCAGAAAAAAAACATCATATCTCGAAAACAACCAAAAGATTTGAGCAGTAAAGTGCAGTTGTCAATGAATGTGCTCTCAAAGCGCTTGAGAGGCACCCATGAATGTGCCCTTGAGAGGCACCCATGAATGTGCGCTTAAGAGGTACTTATGAAGGAAAAAAAACTTCAATTTTATATCAATTTTATTAACCTGACGCTGGACATAGTTCCGAAAACGTTCGATTTCACATTTTAGTATTTTTTACTTCTGAGTTCCGTTCGTTCATACCCAAGCATTGACCTCAGCAAAATGGAAGAGCTCATTCAATAGGCACTTTACAAATAGTTTGCTCCTTGAATATTGTTTGACCATTGGTTGTCAAGAAAAACCGATTTTTAGTCAAATTTGGAGCGGCTAAAGCGAGCGAGCGAGTGGGCATTTTCATAGCTTATAATGCAAGTTAAGCCGTAATAGTTTTTTTCTTCGTTAAAATAAATTTTATAGTGCCCTCTTAGATTCAAAATATAAAAAATCAAGAAAATTTAAGAAAAAAATCAGTTGTCTTGATTTTTTAATTTTAGTTTTGGGAAAAATGTTATCGATATCCCTAAGATACTATTACGCTTGAATGTGCCTACGTTCTAGGCTTTCGTTCAGTTCCTCTCATCTCAACACGAATAAAAACGCGACACGATCTGGTGAACAAATGCAGTTTTTTTAATGACTGTGGTAGGAATTTTCTGTGCTACTTGCACAGCAACCGGGTATCATTATTTGTTTTTATTTTTGGCATAATTTTATTGGAAGGAGTGTAACAGTTGCCCACTTAAGTCACATATGAGGTTAAGAGAAATACGCCCTATAACCATTGGCTCAAGGGTCAGGGACACTACCTCTTGTGTTTTTGTACCTAAAGATATTGGATCCAATTCGGTTCACTTCAGACATGGGACATCGAGATCGTGTACAGCTTAAAGGCTACTTCTTAAATACCCCCCACTCTAGAAATAAGTTCGTCCCCATGGCTAGGTCTCTAAATACCTAAAACACGCGAAAGTCGTTGAAAACAGGGTTGGAAACTCAAGTAAACATCATTCGTTTTTATTGGACAGTGGACCTTTGATCCATTTCAGATGGATCAGCCTAAAACTCGCCTTATCTCAACATAACTATAAAACGCACTCTGGTGATTAATTTCAGTACTCACATCTAGACAACAATTTTGGATAATAACTCTAGAAGTTTTAACAAAGCAATAAGTTTTGACTCGAGAAGTTTTATAAGTTTTGGACCATCCTGTCACTTGAGTGCGCGGCCTTCCCAATCAATGTTTTCTTTGCTCCAGAAGTAGCGCGGAATCACTCTCGATGATCTCTATCGTGAACAAGACAGCTCTACTCAAATTGATTATTAATGGACAAATTGCGAATAGCAATTTGACTCCAGATTGATTTTCCGACAACTTTTCCGCAGTTATGGATTCGGTTTTTCTGATTTTTGACTTTCCTGTTTCAATTGTCGCGAGAAACTTGAGCATGAGATGGTCGATTCGAATTTTTCAAAAATACCATTAAATCCCAAAATCAAGATCAAACTTCAGGATATGGCCGACTGGCACAGATTTCATGTTATTAATTTTGCAAGGAATGTAGTGCGAAGTTTGTTTGGCTATTGTGCTAGTTATATTAGTAGTATAACTAAGTTATCACTATTGCATGGTGCTAGTTTTCAGTTTGATTTGAATTTGTATGCAGTTCAAATGAAAGATGTGAACAATTCAGCAAACTCAATGCATAAAAACTTATAGAGCTACGATGGGTGATAATGATGATACGTTGTCAAATGGAATACCGGCATCTCACAAAAAGTTGTCAAAAATTACAATAGAGCTTTCTGGCGGTGCTCAGTTTCTTTTCGGCAACAAGACACATTTTGATCTCATTAATGAAATAGAAGAGGGCACGTCGGTTGCTCAGCTAATTCAATGGCTCACAGACAACAGACTAGAGGAGCGAGCCGAATTGTTTGTGAAAGGCGACTCTGTGCGGCCTGGACTATTAGTGCTGATAAATGACGCTGATTGGGAATTGATGGGGGAGAAAAATTATACACTGCAGTCTGGAGATATTGTTCACTTTTTGTCTACACTACATGGAGGATAATTTATTATCATTTTTTTTCAAATTCACAGCTTTATTCTAATCATTTTGAAATAAAATGCCTCAATCGTGTTTAAAATATATCAAAATCTATTATCGGTCTATTATATATTTAAATGCAGGGTTCACCATCTAGCCATGCCTAAGTTTTTTCAACTTAATTGCTTTGCATGTTTAACGAAAGAATTTTTGCGTGAATTCAGTGTTTTGTTTTTGTCAAATTTGAACCTATAAACCCAAAAGTGGGATGCTGTCAGGGTTGCAAATTGGGCCTCCAAATATGAATGCCCAAGCCTTTTTAGTTAACGAGATAAAAAGATTCTTGTGATTGTTTCGATCATTTTCAAAACTTAGATTTTAACAATTCCACAAACATTGAAATTCTTAAGCCTGTAGTTCTCTCAGGGGGTGCAATTCTTGCCTCAAAATCTGACCTCAATTTCTTTTAGTTTGCGAGATATGACTTTTTTTGTTTTTTTTTTCAAAAATTTTTAAAGAACTTTTATATGAAAACGTGACAAAATTGAAATTCTCAACTCCATGGTGTGATTTGCTCTCAGAGTAATTTCAGGCATTGCAGATTGTGCATCCAAATATGGTTGCTCAAAACATTTTAAGTTCCGAGGTGTGACTTTTTTAAAAATTTGACAGAAGTTGAATTTCTCAACCCTTTAATTGGGTGCTCTCAGGGATATCTCAGGTGTTCTAAATCTTTCCTCAAAAAAGCACTGGTCATATCCTTTAAAATTCCGAGGTTTGACGTTTTTTTATGATTTTTTTTCCAGAAAAAATTTTATGATTGTTTCAAAAAAATATTTCAAAAAAATTATATGAAATTTTCACAAAAATTGTAAATCTCAACCCAGTTATTGGGTGCTGCCAGGGTACTCTCAGGGGTTCAAAATCTTGCCTCAAAATATGACTGCTCAAATCTTTTTAGTTTTCGTGATATGAGGTTTTCTAAGATAATTTCAAAATTTTTCGAAAAACTTAGATATAAAAACTTAATGAAGTTAAAATCTAAATTCTATTGTGTGAGGTGCTGTTAGGTTACTCTCAGGGCGTTGCAAATCTTTTTAAAAATATGACTTGCTCAAATCTTTTTATGTTCCCAGATATGACCTTTTTATGATTTTTTAAAACAATATAGAGAAAATTTAGATTAAAACAAATTTTGGAATTTCATATGCCAACTCTGTAGTCAGGAGTATTGAGGTAGTCTCGGTGGTTGCAAATCTTGTGTCCAAAGGTGACTTCTCAAACGCTTTTGTTTTCCGAAGTATGACGCCAAGTTTGATCGTCTTAGTTTCTGATATATGTCGTTTCTTATGCTTTTTTCACTTTATGATCTTAACAATTTTTCGAGTTTCAAATAATCAAAACTATAGCGGGGTGCCCTCAAAGTACTCTCAGGAGTTTTGTCTTGACTCCAATTATGACTACTCAATACTTTTTGCCTTCTTATATATGACGTTATATCTTACGTTGGTTTTCAAATAATATTTTTCAAAAGTTGAAATTGTCGATCCTTTGGTGAGGTTATGTCAGGTTACTAACAGCGGATGCATATGTGGCCCTTATCCTAATATTATCGTTCATTTTTTTTTGAAAATTACTATTAGATAAGAAAAAAGAATCTGATATGCGAAAATTAATTACAATGGATTATGAAAACCATTTGAAATTGTTTCAATTTTTTTAAAATATGGAAAGTGCAGTTGTATGCTGTCAGTCATTTTAGGGTTTCCTTTACTAAGATCTGAAACCCAGTAGTTTTGTAGTTTTGACCATTTTAGTTTAAAGAACCTTCAAGTCAAAATTATTTCTCTTTCAAATGTTTAAATCGTTGGATATTCCATATTTTTTTAAGGTTGCATTCATTTCGCTGTTTTTGTCCATATATTTCAGGTATAAGCAACTTTCATTTTCACTAATATGTTTGAAGCACCGGAGGTGAGTTACACGCTGGTTATAATTAAATGTTTTGAATCAACAAAGCTTATAAAATTTGCAGTTGATGACAATGATTAGTAGGAATCAAGTGTTCGGTGGCCATGTCTGATTTTTTCTGAATTGTGAATTGGCCAGTTTTTTTTCCGGAATCGCCTTGTTTTGGGGATTCATATGGGAAAAAAATGCCTTGGCTGATCATTGGCAACTACAGTGTAGTTATAATGCTTCAAGTTGTTGCTTCTTCCTGAGGTAACTTTTTCGAAAAGGGTACCGAGAGAGTATCTTGTCCAGATCTTCTTTTTTAGCCCTGTTTTTATCTTCGGACAATTGCAAGCTCTCCATTTTGTTCAATTTCTGGGTGTTACTGCTCTCTCTCACTCTGAATTTGGGTGTTCCCGTTTTCAACATATCAAGTCGGAATTTCTCTTGATCCTAAAAAACACTGGATTATAATTTCGATCAGTTTTGATTTCGAGTATTGGCGAGCAAACCTAGAACGTTAAATCCAGATTTTGACTTGGGGTAAATATTGAGAACTTTTCGAAATATAACGTGTTTGGATATTTTATCTTCAGCGATTAAATAATTTTTGTCCCGACCATTTGAAAAATGGGGAGGTACTCTGTATTCGGGTTTTTAGTTTTGTTTTCTTTTTTTTTTTAAAACACATAATTATAAAGCTCTTTCAGTCGTAATTCGAACGACATTGAAAATTTTCCAAAAAATTGTCCCAGTATTGAGAAAAACAGGTTTAAAATTATGATTTTTAGCTTAAATTCGAGCAAATAAAGCGAGCGAGCAGGCTTACAATAGCATATTTTTCCTTGCTTTAGGCTATGAAAAATTAGTTTTTTCAAGTAAAGTTGTTTTTGTAGTTCTTTAGCGTCATTCGGAAATTAAAAGCTTTGAAAAGTTTCTGCAAAAAGTTTTTGATATATATATACATATTTCTTCGTCATTTTTCTACAATTTGAATTGTGTTGCTGTTTCATGTTTATTAGCATAGTGATTTTTCGCTCATGTGGGTCGCGCGGTTTTTTTGGAAAATTTCTTCAATTTTTTTTTGGAGCTTTGACGTTCTCGAATTTGGTCTTATTTTTAAGCTGTGGTGGCACAGCCGTGGTATTAAGTTACCCTGTTATGATTTTGGGCTCTTTTACTGTTTCCCCACCGCAGGCCATTTTCTGTGTTTTTGAGTTTTATCAACGTACATTAAAATTGACATGTGGATACATTGCGCATTTACTAATAAGTTTTTTTTTATTCCCATGTACAAGTTCGTGAAATCAATAGTTACACTGTAACGTTGATGTTTTTTTAAATAAAAAATATGTGGAGAGGAAACAATCTAAGAGATTGTTTGGGTTCTGGTGTATGGACGCCTTTCAGTGGCAGAACTATTTCCGGTCCATCTGGGTCCGAACCAAGATCCATCCAATAACTTCCTCAAGACTCGAAAAAGGCAACGGAGGCAGAACGATCCAGCCAATCCGTCTCCTACCCCTGCGGCTGGACTACTGACGGCTCTATTCATGATGCTAATCATTCCAGGCATTGAAATAAAAAATAAACCCAGGCCCTGGACCTCAACTATGTACTATCTGCCATCGAACTTTCAGAAATAATTAGTTTAGTATTTGATGCCACAACGGAGGTTGATTCCATCTCCTCTGTACAAAACTTAAGAGCTCTCATGAGTGGATTGAAAGTTTATTGCGGCGAATGTGACTGATGCCGATTAACTGCTACACCCAACCCAACCCCAGATCCGCAAGTTTCAATTGAAGCTGAAACTACCAATTTCAAAATACTCTAATGGCCTAAGAAACAAAATAGATAGTATCATGCAAAACATGGATAATAACATTAAAAATGCTGCAATACAGGGGATGTTGCTCAATTCATCAATTTTTAAAGTCCCATCTGGATACCAGATTGTGGCAAACAATCGCCCGATTGAGCGTACTCAAGACGAGTCAAGTGTTAAAACGACTTTCAAATAACCTACATATGTGGCATGCCCTACCTATCCCGTCGGGGGCCAATAACACTGGACTATGGACGAGACGAAATCACCAAACAAGACCGAAATAAACAATGTCGTCTAGAGTCAGCGAGGCTACTACAACAAGAGACTTTGTGTTGACTCGCTAAAGGTGCCAAAATACGCTTCGCCTTTGTGTATACATTGATCCAGTTTTCTTCAAGTGGCTAAGTTTCATCAAAAAACTATCAGTCATGGTAGATTCTTGAAATTTAATGAGCTTGAAGGCGATATATTTTTCTTTGTTTCGATGCTTCAAAAATTGCAATTCACAATGAACATTTTGCCATCTGTCTGTTAGCTGTGTTTTCCATATTCGACAAAAATCAAATTTTTAGATGACGACTTCAAATTACTTTGAAGAGGGGTCTAAAACTGCTAAATTACATTGAAGATAGCGAGATTAAAACACCGCAAGACTACTGCTAAAAACAGACAAATTGTGCTGCTGTCAAATAGCAGTAAGCTTACAGTAGATGCAATTTATTTATTCGTTCTTACTGGTCTATGCGAAATAAAACTTGGCTGTTAAATGAAAATACACGTCTCACCTTTCCCAAGATGGTCTCCAGGCCTTGGTATCTGTTCTCCTGACGGAGAGTCGCTTTCATTAGAATCTCCTGTTCGAGCTCTTTGAACTGATTCCTCAATTCCATACTCTCTACACTGGCTGCCCTCTTCAACACTCGTTTGGTAGGATGGAGACGGAACAGGGAGCTTTCTCCTTCTCGTACTGTGTACAGGTCAACTTCGGGCAGGTACTGTAGCAGAAAAAATATATGATACTCGTGCGCCCAGTGGAGTGCATCAGTTTTTGACTGTCGGCGGGTGCGTGGTTTTTTAAACATTTTCGTATTGTTTCAGTGCTCTCTGACCAGAATGACCGTATTTGGCAAAACTTTCTGCGCACGAAATGTTTCGACCAAAAACTTTTTTTGGCGCGCGCTCTCCTCAAAGTTAGTATGTATTGGCGCTGAAGCGCGCTTAGAAAATTTTTAGGGCTGATCAGGCAGAAATGGCCATGGTAAAAGAGTATGGAATAGTGCTGAAGTTAAATGGTACCCTTGGAAACATTCGGCAGCCAGAAACATTCGGCCGCGGGGTTCTTTTCATTAGCATGTCATTTTATGCTATATTTGTGAAGTGAACATAGAAACATGTAAAAATTAACATAGAAACATGTAAAATTGCGATCCCGAAATTTTTTTTCTTGAGCCTTCCGCAGTTGAAGCCGCTTTTTTGTTAGAGCTAGAGCCTAAAAAATATAAAATGTGTTTAATCTAAACAGGTTGAAAAAAGCTTCAAAGTCAATCTACATCGTAAACTGCGCTGGTTTTATTCTGGATTTTTGGAAAATCTTGAAAAATCAATGCCCGACTTGCAAAAATCTGAATTACCTCAGTAAAAATATAGTGTAATTACTTACGTCAGGTGTTTCGATCCGTCCCTTTAAGTTTGTGTTAGTTGTAGCGCGTTCAACAACAAAGGCCTTTGGTGGCAATGCCTTTGACGCACGTGACATCTTTTTTGACCTCTTCAACTCGTACTCAGCCTTGGTCAAAGTAGATGTCAACGAAGGGTAGTGTTCGTCAGTCATCATTCGCTTGCTGTGTTCTATTCTAAATTTGGAGATTTTTCTTTCGCTCTCCAGCTTGATCAGGCGTTGTTCCAACTTCCTCTTTTCGGTTTCATTGCCGTAGAGAATCGTCTGCCCGAATTTACTGCGGTTCGTGTGCAAAGCCTTAAATGAACGATATCGAGGCTTAAAAAAGCAACAGAATCTGGCGCGTGTTATAATCCGTTTAGTATCAATAATTACTGAAAATTAGTTGGAACTCTGATGAAAATTCTCCGAAAATTGAGTTTTTATAAAAAGAAGCCAAGTTTAAGCATCAATTTTTGAATTCACAATGCTTATGCACATGTTTTACTGGACAATTTTTGTTGTATGGATTTTCAATCGCGGGAAATTGTAGACCCAACCTGATCCATGGCCCGTTCTCTGTCCATCATGGCCCGTCTATGGTTCTTCTGTGCTCCGATAGAGTTTGGTATAGTCTCTGAGCTGCCCATTGAGAGAAGTCCATTCGCTACCATGTTCTCTCTCGCTTGCTTCTTTGCAAATTGGATTTGCCTTCTATGTTCCATGTTGCGCGCATTGCTGTTATCGCTCATTCTGAATAAGTTAGAAGTTTCTATTCTATTTTAAGTTCGAATTAAGAATGGAAGTTATTTTAAAGATCACAGTTCTAGGCAGTTGTAAGCTAATAAATTGGTTTTTTTTTGGACGTTAGGTCTAGGTGTTCCAAAATGTTGACTTTGGAGAACTACGCGGGATTTTTTCCTACGATAAATTTGAAATTGAGTTTTCAACCAGCTGTACAATTTATAGATTGCATTTTAAAACGTTTATTGATGGCGTTGTTTGAAGCTATAAAACGTTTAATGTTCAACAACAGCAAAAAATCAAAATCTACTGTGTATACTAAAACTAGACCAATAAGTGGTGCTGCGACTAGCTTGATTCAAACTGTTAAGTTTTAGCATAGCCGATAAGAAACGCGTGTTGTATTGTCTTTTAAAATTTTCTGTTAATATTTGATTGAAAGGCAGAAGTTTTCGCTTACGTTTTTACGTTTCTGATTCGAAGAAATTCTGGTAAAAATCTTGCACTGATCAGTTTTTTGTTCTTACAGATGGTGATTTAAAAAAGCTGTTTTTAATTTTCAAAAAATGTTATTATGGCGTAGGATGCAACTTTCAGGAATGTTGGCATTACGCATGCATTCAAGGAAATACCTTGATGTATGTAACGTATTCATTTCAGCAGTAGCGTGCCGACGCTTTGGATTCATTTTACGACGCTTTGGAACATTTTTGCAGAAATTTCAATTTTTCTCGAAAACTAATGTACCGATTTTCAAAAAAAAAAATTGTTCCAATGGAAAAACTTGCTGCTTTTCTCTATGCCTGCATATTTCGCTAGTCTCGTTTCATTTTACCTCACGTTCTACGGCCTTCGAAAGTTTCACAAGGAGGATTTTTGACTTAGTTCTTTTGAATTTTTTCATTTTCTCAAATATTAACTGCTCAAATCTGAGACGAAGATTTTAATCAAAGAACAAATTATGGGGATCTCCCCTTCTCAAGAGGCTATATTCGTGGAAAAAAAGTTATGGCCTCAAACAAGTCCATTTTTTGACATTTTGATTAATTTTTAAAACTTTTGACTTTTCTCAAAAACTACTCTGGCTAATTGGAGATAGAGGTACTTACCAGGAGAAAAAATCAGTTTTGCGAAAATGCCCAATGGCCCGATACTCTTGTTTTCAAAAACTATTCTGCTTATTCTGAGGCTGATAGTTCATTAAAACTAACATGGTGCTTAGATTTTCCTTGCTTAATCTGTTTTGCCTTGTTTTTGCTGTTTTTTTTCTGGACTTCGGAAAATTCCTTTTAAAGTGTTTAGCGTTTTTTTTTAGAATATTTGTCACTATTCTCACAAGCTACGATCTAATTGTGTTTTTAAGGGTTCAATCTAATTGATCAGGGTGCGGAAATCTTCAATCAAAATTCAGGGTGTGGAAAGCAGAGGCTATTCCCATGCTTTGGTAGAGAAACGTTTATGGATTTGGGAAAAGTCAAATTTTTGATCGATTTTGGAATCTTTTTCACCATTTTTGTCAAAAACTACGCAGTCAAATCTGAAATAAACACTTCAATTGAAGAAGGGAGTCGTAATTGTTTCCTTTAAATAAATGAATAATCCACCACTTTACCAGAGAAACACAAGGGTTTTGTGTAAATTCCATTTTTTTTGAAATATTGAAAATCACGAAATTCGGTATCAGTATAATATACGATTAAAACTGTTAGAACAGGTAGATCCAGCTCTAGCTGAGCGACTAGTTAACTTCCCAGTTATCGTGGCGCAGATGCGAGGACGTGAGACTCCTAATCAATAGGTGGGATTTTCAAAACGGTAATATATAAATAGTTTTTTGGTCGAATTTTTGCTGCAGAACATTGGCAACTTGATAGAAAGTGTAGCTACTTTATTGGTGGCTAGTGTTAGTTAAATTATAAGCGGTCGTGGAGCAGATGTGAGAACGTGACACACCTAATCTCATTGAAATTTTTTTGCAAGGTGATTTTTTTATCTCATTTTTTGCAAGGTGTTTTACAATCTTTTCCGCATTTCACTTTGTTTTGCCTGTTAAGAGCTCTTTTTTGCATTTTTCTTGCTTTTGTTTGCGAATCGCAGCTTCGCTTCTGTGTATATAATTTTCGTTTGCCGTTTTAAGTTACGTTTTTTTCTGCACTTCCTTATGGTTTACACACCTATGGTTGCAGTCAAAAATCAAGCTTGGACAGATTTTTTTGTTCGGTCAAAAGGAAATTTTACGAACTATATTCTCCCAGAGGAAGAATGATCACCGCTATTTTTACCAACTACGAATCTTTTAAAACCAATTGTTTCCCGAATTTTTTTTACGCTTGCGTTTAGCTCTCGTCATCAAATCGGGATATATTCTTGGTTTCAGGTTAACTGATTTAACAAATTCACTAGAGTCATTTGATAACTTGGTGTTTAATGGAGAGTTTTTTCAGCTTCTCTGGAACACTTGGTCTAGAGGTAACGACTAACTGGGACGAAAAATGTGAACTCTTTTCAAAAGGGAAATAATCCGTTTCAAAAAAAAAATCTTTTAGCCTATTGTTTCTGTCGGTTTAGCTGCCATATCACGTTTTTGTGATTTTTTGCAGTTTGATTTTTGATTTTTTTTTTCAGTTAATTTCCTTTCTTAAAAGGAAGGCAAACTCCATTATCGAACAGCAAAAGTGAAAAAGATACGAAAAATGTGAACGAATTCTAATTTCGAAAGAGATTTTAACTTTCAGATTTCGTTTTTTTGTTTCCTTGCGTTCATGGATGACTTTTTTCCAACTGTCTGTTAGCTATGTTTTATCCTATATTGGTCAAATCGGCAACCCGTATTTCATTTAACGAAAAATAAGTTTCTAAATCAAAAATTCAATTTAAAAATATAAATTATCGTTAAGTTAAGTTGTACTAAGTGTAATCCAAAGCTTCTTGCTCATTGATTTAAGCTCCAACAAATTTGTTTTCAGATAGTTTGCTACGAAATTAGCATCCTTAATGTGGGATTATCATAAAAGGTCTCCTCCGATTCTCGCAAGCAACTCGAGAGACTATTGGAGCAGCACAGAACGCAGACCACAATCGCCAGACCAAATGGAGCCCGAATTCGCAAGCCATCCATCAAGAACAGGTCAAAGTAGTGGTATTCTGGCACACCGGATTACATGCGAGAGGGGCGAGGATGGAAGATCTTTCGGTGGAAGAGGGTGGACACCTGAGCTTGAGAGGCGTCAGGTATTTTAGATCGAGATTTGCATTAATCCAGTTTTTGTTTTAGTCACGTTAATTGTTGTTTCTAAAGCGAATTAAAGAGCGCCTTATTGATTAATTCAACTCATACCATGTTCAGTTTCGGCACCTGACAATTTAATGGAATGAAAATTTAGTTGAAACTTAACATCGTTGAAATTTATATAGTGGAGTGGACTTGAACTAACTTCGTGAATATGACGATGTAGTTGCTTATACTTTTTTGTTCACTACTCCAATGTGTACTATCATTCTAGGAATCTGACTCTCGAAGGGATTCATTCGACGATTTGACATCGGCAGGAGATCGATATATCAACGACATCCGAGCATCTGTGACTGGCAGAAACGATAGCCCTGCACGTAGACGCCCAGTACTCTCCAGATCTAGATCGCGAAGCCGAAACAATGGCAGCCGAGGTAGAATAAGCGCTACTCTCCACGATAAATAATTTTCATTTTTCGTAGTATGTCATTCGAAATAGATGTCAACCCTTTTTTGAGCTGCCAGCAATAAAAAACAACATTTAAGCATCGTCCTCCCAAGCATCATGTTTTGAAATATTATTCGTTATTGTTTGTTCTGGGTGTGTCGAAGAGATCTCGAAGTCGTTCCCGCAACAGAGGCAGCGATCGGAGCTCAGTGCGCAGTGAGTCATCCAGGAAGAGCTCTTCACGTATATCTAGGCCTCACAAGTCACGGGAGAGGGAACGGGAGACATCTGATGCCTCACTGCTGATCCCATCTTACCTGAAACAGACACCTACCAAGACTGTGTTTCTCAAAGATCTGTCCAAATATTGCACAGAAGAAGATGTAAATTGTTATTACGCTGAAAAAAATACTTAACAAATGGAAAAATCATCATATTACGATTTCATTTTTTTTTTGAAAAAATAGCTGTACCACTTTTGAAAGGGTTGGTTTTTTTTAACAGTGATTACGGGGATAGACATGCAATGAGATTCAAATGCGTTAGAAAGAAAAGTAGTTATGTTATTAAAGATTCGTCAAGAAGTGGAAGCATTTGGAGCTCCTATCAAGGACATCACGATTGAACAGAAGAACAGTTCACGGGGTAGGTTGAAGAATATGTTTGCAATAACATTCTGATTAAATTTGTCTCATTTTAGGTTGCAACTTAGTTCCGCTTTGCATGTTTGGTTGTTAGGTTTCTGTTGTCAACGTAATGCGAGACGCGCAGTTTAGGTCGAGCGCTTTGGCCGTACTGCGAAGTTTCCGACTCGATATCATGTTTCAGCGGGCATTTGTAAAATTACCACCGGTGCTTGATTGGATTTAGAGAGCCTTTGTTCAGCCGGTCGTTACCATGTTATAGGTAGCCGAGAGAGCAGCTCGTCTAGAAGCCGAGGCGCCCCTACATCTAGCGGGGCATATTTGCAGTTTTTGCGCCTCGAAGACGCCCAGAGGTGGATGGAGCAGTCTCAGGTCTAGTATAATTGGCCCAGCTCTACTCAGAACGCGGATGCTGTCGAACGAATGAATTAATCGGCTCAAAACAATGTCTATCTTTTCCTGACTTTGACATCACTCTATGATAATATTCTGGGTTGATGTTTGTCATGCTAATTTGTCCTTCCTGCTCGTTTCGTCTCTTAGAGCAATTTTTTCAATTGCTCGCATTATCCAGTTTTTCATTCCGAGCGTAGGAAAAAGTTAACTTATTTGTTGGCCATCAAAATTTACGGCTCTCCCGGAAATAATTTTTGAGCACATAAAATATAACTATGGCCTAATACTAAGAAAGAATGAAAGGATATAAATTAGCTCAAGGATAGTCGGTTGCTGTGCAAGTAGCCTAGATCACTGTGATTTAACCAAATAAAATATAAAAAGGTCAAATTTTTAAATTAATTGTGAAAATAACTGAATTAAAGTGAAAATAGTGTTTAAGTTAAATTTAAACAATGCGGATAGAGAGTGATTGATAGATTAATTTAAAAACTGCAACATCTTTTAATTGAGTATCATCGCAATTGAGTTGTCTGTGTCTCAAATTTTGATGAAGTTTGGTCTGACCAATTTTCCTTGACAGCAAGAAACTTTTTTGATTTTTGTTGGGTATCCAAATCACGGCTGAAAAGACTTTAACATGATACCACTCTTGAGCGTGTTTTGAGGTAGTCCAAATTTGGAAGAAAAACACACCTTACGCTCATAGTTTTTCCCATAACTTCGTGATGTGGTTGGAACAAATTTATTGTTTTCATCTTGCCCAAAAATTTTCTAAAGAAAATAAAATGTACGATTTGGCCTTTTTATAATGTCAGGAAACTTTGCATGGTGAACAAATGAGTTGCTTTGAACACATTTGTTATCCATATTTTATATCAAAATATCACGCTTTTAAACATTATAGTAAGTCAACCAATAATGAAATAGGAAATTTGAAATGTTTGGCAGTGAAAAAGACGTTCCGTTCACCATAAATGTGCCGTTTTTAATTCTTCGCCGTGCTGAACACTCATAGCGTTGACTATTTCCCATGAGCATCTTTTGTTACAATTCGGTTTGAAATTGGTTTTGCTTTATCATGGATCATCAACGTTTTCCAGGCCCATCCTCCCTGGTCTAGCAGTAAAGCGCGTGCGTTTGGATCCTAAGGTCTGGAGTTCGAATGTATACAATGAAAATTTTCTGAATATCTTCTCCCTGTTTTTTGTCGGCTTAAGTTCCAAAGCATGGTATTTCGATCTGATTTTAACCATTTTTTCAAAAATTGAAAGTTGTGTAATTTTAAGTTTTCCTTTTTATTTAGCTTAGAATTTTTTCGCCCGAATGGCTTTGATTTATTTTAAATTGATTTAGTCATCCTATGTTTCGTCGATTGAAGAGCAGAGAGTTTTCGGCTTTAGTACTTTTTTGGAGTGGTCGGGTAGAAAGGAGTGGGGTTTCTTAGTTCTAAATGTTTCATGACATCGATATTTTTCTATGGTAATTTTGTTTTTGGCCCAGCTGGCGTCTGCTCAATTATTATCGGCTAATTGACCGGTTAGCAAATGATACTTAGTGCTCTTTCAAAGCTGTAATTGAGTTTTTTTTTAACTTTAACATCAGCCGAGACAAATTTATGAAGTTTTTGTAGATGTAGTTTTTTTTCGACATTTTTTCTATTTATGTCACATTTTCTGTTCGGTAGCTTACAATGCTCTACTTGCCTAGTATCTCAACTGTTGCAAAGCTCAGCTTCACCCTGTGTCAAGTGTCAAAAGAAGTATCTTATTCCGAATAAGTACAGCGCAATAGGATCTCCGATTTGATAAATCTCAGGAAAATTGTCATACGACAAAATATTAGATGAACATCAGCATAAGTTATACTTGGCATAGTGCTAATGGTGCTTTCGGTTTTTTAAATGGTTTTATAATGTGAAATCATGTATACCTTTGATCCTTTTTTTGGTGAAAACCAGAAATTCTGTTAGGCCAATTTTTAGTTTTAATGGTTTGAAAATTGACGCTTAAGCTTTTCATTTTCTAAAATTATCTTTGAAACGTTTTCGCTCTCTCTTCGATGACGAAAGTAGAAATTAAGTGGGAACTTCTTTTCACGTCAAAAGCTTTATCTCATTATCTTTGTCATAAATGTGTCTATTCATAAACCATTTTAAAGTTAAAAGGGATCTACCTAGCCCAGCAAAGTGTAGATGTAGCATCGTTTTCTACTTTGAATGCCTTTTTTCATGATTTCTTTCAAATAACGATTTTGGAGTCCGAGCTCAGTAAAGTGTGGAATACGCTGCGTATTTTTTTCCACTGAATTAGATGGAAATATTCGCGAATTTTTCTTGAGAACTTGCTGTATATAAGAACCACCAACACTGCTGCTGGTATCCGAGCAAAGCCTTGAATTTCCGACTGCTGTTTTTGCTTGTATGTCATGCGTTTATTTTTTAGCTCTCAAGCGATCTGAAAAACCAAATGATGTTGAAATCAAATGTCCCCCCTTTGTACTATTTTGAGATATCCATTTTTGGATGACTGGCCTTGAAACTTTTCTAAAGGCGCTTTGGGCGCCAATATATACTAATTTTGAGGGGGGAGAGCGCGACCAAAAAAACGGCGATTTTTTGGTCGACATTTTCCAAAAAATGCATTTGAGAGAGCTCAGAAAATCAATTTGGTCGGCCTAACAAAAAGGTCGATAAAAATTTCAAAATTTCTTTGAAAATCCCTCCCCCTTCGAGAAATTCCTAGATCCGCGCCTGGTCTTCTTATTTGTTGAAGCCCAGTTTACTGTTCCGTCTTACGAAGAAAGTAGCGGAGTGTTTGTGCTCGGTGTTAGAAATTGTTTCGAGTTTTTCAGGGTAACTTTTGAATCAACTGAACGATTTTTAATCAACTGAATTTTAAGCGGTGATGATTTTTTTGTAAGTTTACAGGGGTTCGAGTGCGCTAAAATACCAGTTATTTTTTATAGCGTTTGTTATACGCGGATAATTAATCCGGCTTTTAAATAAGTCCATATTGCACTGAATTTAGAAATATTAGACCAATTAGTTTGCTTCAACTCAATTTGGAATGATAATTTGGGCACACTGGAATTAGGATTAGCCTCAAACAACGAAAAGTGGTTGCATCCAAAGTACGTTTCTACATTTGAACTCCAATTGCCTGTATTTAAAATGCATTTCATGAATATGGGCGCCTATTCATTGTCTCTATTTGAATTGCCTGTATTTAAAATGCATTTCATTATTTCGGGCGCCAAAATTGGTCTTGGTATCTACCCAAGTAGAAATATTGTGTTACTTTCTTCGAAAGTCAGAACTGATAAAATCTAATTTAAGCTTATTTAGCGCAGTCGGCGAAGCGTCTGGCTTTTGATTTTTTTGCTCAAGCATTTTCCCCCTAAATTATCGATAAAATTTTTGCAGTCTTTTGGTAAATATCTTTTGGCTATGTTCGCGAGTGATTCTGAACCTTTTTGTGGATTTAAGGCCCGTGTAAAATTAATCAATTTTTGAATCGTCTTGCAATCTATTTTTGATTATTCGTTGACTATTGTTGAATACTTCTGATTGCTATTTGTCGAAGTTCTATATTGTTTTGTCGGACAAGCGTTGAGATTTGTGATGAGATTATTTGTCGTTTCCCTGTCGGTCGTCATAAGGATGAGGAATTGATTCTCTTATTGTTCGGTTGCTCTCAATTTGAATTTATTTCAGGGAAAATTAAGAGTTTGCGGAGAGTGGGTTGAGATGTCCTATTCGGATCCGAAGTCGTCTCCGGCAACAGTCGGAGCAGCTCGCCGTTCGTCACGAGAAAGAGGCGACTCCTCACGACGTCGGGACAAGCGAAGTCGTTCCTCGAGTCGCAGCAGACGAAAGAAGTCACCGCGTTCGACACGCCGAAGTCGCAGTAAGAGCAAGTCCTTTTCAAGGTCAAGGCGCAATCGGTCAAGAGATCGTTCGGCTAGACGAGACAGAGATGACTATGAAGACAGAGACAGTGATCGAGAGAGGTCACGAAGAACACTGGCCAAAGAGTGGGATTGCTTCAATGTATGTTTTCATTACGTTTTTTCGATATTGGCATTTTAAAAACATATGTTTTTTTTTCTTAATCTGTGGCTAGTTTTTCGTCTTTGTAAGCGTACGTTCTTGTGTGTGGGACAGTCGACTTGAATGCTTGGTTTTCCGAACACTGAGGTTCGATTCCCGTAGAGTGCATTTATTTTTCAAAACGCATGAATTTTTTTGCTTCTTGCAAAGTGTAGCTTTGCCAGTGTAAAAATTCCAATCTACTAAATTAAGAGCTGTAAAGGACGTTTGAGTTTCAAGGAGAGAACTTGTATGTAACTTCTTGTTTTACTTTAGTGCAATGGGCGAAACTACCCAAGACGAAGCGAGTGCTACCGCTGTGCGATGTCGCGTGAAGGTCAGTTGAACTCTGAACCTTTTTATCCTTTAGCAACCACGTGTTCCCAATTAAGCGTTTCACCGAAAATTTTTCACTTATTCGTGAGTTTGTTTTAGAGTCCGAAAGATCTCTGTCCGACCTCTCTCTTCAGCAAATTAGCACAAGGCCCACGAAATGTCAGTTTGTATAACTCAATTCCACATTCAAACAGAGATCAGAATAGTAACTGTCTCAGAATAGAAATGAAAGCAAATCATGGCCCCTGGCTAGTATCGTTGTGGTTGTACATATCAAAGTCGTTGCAGATTTCATTTATCAATGAATGATCTATCGTCTTCTTGATGTTTGATGTGTCGTTTTTTGAAACAACAGAATACATTTAACGTTGAATAAATAATTGGAGTATTTGCTCTTTGATGCTGAAATAGACTATGGCTGCTGAATTTCGCTCATTATTTATTTTATAAAATAGTTATTTTGAAAGATTAGTTATATTTAGACTTGATTATCCGTGAGCTTGATGCTTTGACATCTGACGAGACCCTACAGATTACATTGAGTCGTTTGTCGCCAGTGTTTATCAAGCAGTCCTACATCTCGCGTGATCCATTACTGCAAGTGTCCAACTGTTATGCGTATGTGGAACTTAACAACGAAGCAGACGCGGAGAAGCTGAAGAATCATCTGCAGGCCAAGAATTTCACAGTCGATAACAAGAAAGGTGAAATATGCATTATGCAGAACAAAAAATGGGCCCTTGCGACATCCATTCATGGTCAAATGACTTAAAAAAATTTTGAGATGGTTCAAATGTCAGTATTTGCTACGAAAACAAAACTTGGATGGTGGTAATATTTTTGCCCTTCGACTTCTTTAACCACATTGTTTGAAGTTTTTTTCTCAAACTAACTTTGGTGCAGATGGTGCCACAAAGAAGTAGTTCTTCATAGTTCCGTAGAAGGTAGAAAATCAATTTGGTTAAGCTATATATAGTTGAAAATTATGGTCCCTCAGCCCGAACATACAAACAAAGTTTATTGTTCCAAATGGTGTATGTTTTGTTTTTCAGTTACTCTCTTTTTCTCCAAGTCATGTGGAGACGAAACTGTGCGAGGAGTTAAAAACACCAATCCGCCCAGCCTCTACAACGAACCCAAGGTAGTCTATGACTCTAACGGTCTTGAAGTTCAAAGCTCACAAGCTTCTAATGATGCTTAAGTGCTGATTTATGTAGTTCTTCAGCTCAATATAGTTCATATCAAAGCTTATTGATATCATAACTGGAAACCGTGCAATTCAAGTACAACCATTTCTAGTTATTACACTAGCAAAAGTTTTTGTTATATTACGAGTTGAAATGTTTCCATCCTGACTCTTACAAGTTAGTTCCCAATAAGAATGCTCAATTTCAATATCTGTGTAAATGAATGTAATTGTAGGTGACCACAGTAATCCAAAAACCCAAAGAGGAAGATCTCACTCACAATCCTCTTGCTCAACCTGCCTCTGTCCCCACCCAACCTCACTCTCACCTCTATCCAAGTCAAGTATCTGCAAGTTCCGTGGCAGCAGCTGCTGCTGCACCACAAGTGACCCGAACTGTGAATGTCAATGGCCAGCTTTACCCTGTCTTCCCTGTTCCAAACACTGCACTCTATGTGTATGATGCGAACTCAGGCTACTATTATGACCACCAGACTATGTTATACTATGATGCTAATACTAAGGTATGTTTTTGTCAGTTTGTAAAAATCAAGTCTACAAATATGATGAAAGCGAATTCCCAAATGTTTTTTAAAATAGAAAAGTAGATATTTTGTTCAACTTTCTCAGCAAATATGACTAGTAACGAAAGGAATTGTTTATAAAACTGAAACTTATCCAAAGATTTGAAAAAAATATATATCAAAATTGCGTTACGACTAACGTTTGCATCTTTCATTTAGCCGAGTTTTGTTATAAAGTTTTTGAATTGTTCATAAGCGCTCTTTTTTAGTATTACTACAATTCAACCACGCAGAAGTTCCTCTACTGGGACGGACACTACTCCACTTATTTGCCACTTCCCACCGACACTCAACAACAACAACAACAGTCAGTTTCAGCCAATGGGAATCAAGATCAGTCGCCGACCAATCAGAACTCGAGTGGAGACCAAAGTTCTCAGAAAGTGACACTGGACGATAACAGAGGCAGTGTCAGCTTCACAATTGGAGGAGGTGCGAAGGGCGGAGAATCGAATAAGAAGAATGATAAAAACAAAACTGCCAAACAAGTGAGTGGAATAGTTAGTTGGATAGTTTTTATTTGTTAGCCATTAGTTAAGGAAAAGATATTGAATAGCTTATTAGACCAAGCAAGACACTTTCAGCTTCTTTTTTAAAGTTCAAATTTGTAATCTTGGTTGCGTGCATCCGAGCACTGCCATGAAAACGTTGCAACAAAGCTAGCGACCGTTTCCTGTTTAAAATTGCCAATGAAAAAGATGTCTTTTTAGGTTCGAGAAGACATGGAACGTTGGACAAAAAGTGTGAATTCACTTAGAAGAGCAGAGAGCAACCGCGCATTCCCCGTACAAAATACATCTTCCGAACAACCTAATCTAGCGAGTGGGGCTAACTCCAATGCGGAGAGTTCGTCATCGTGGGGCTCGTCCGGATCCCAACATACAGGAACTGCCGATGTTGCGTTTGCTGCGCTGGAACGAAGAAACATGCTGGAGATAGGACTGGACAAAAATTTGAATGGAAATAGTGTAGACAACAATTCCGAAGTGAGTTGCATTTTTCTTTTAACTTATGCTTTCATTGTGGTAAATTTAAATATGTAAATATAGCGTCTTTAATATAAATTAATATTCAAGTCTATTCAAACAAATACTCTTGGGAGAACATCAAAGGCGTTCAGCCGACCGAGTGATGCCAGGTTGTTACCAAAGTTATGCTTTTTTTCCGAGACTTAGATGTCTACTATCTTCTTCAGTCTTAGTAGTGTGTGGTTTCAAAAATTTTGCATCTATTCAAGTTCAAACGAGTGCTACTTGATGCCAAGCCAGCCACAGCTTTGAACCCGATCGGAACATTCGGTCACAACGACGACACCTCCGCAATATCACAGCCTCAAAACCCATCTGCCAGTCAGTACTACACCAACCCTAACCCTCCAGCCCCACCGCAGACATCGATGAGTCGTCCAGGAGCAGTGAAAGCTACTCTGGCTTCAGAGGAAGTGAGGCTAACAGACTGGGTTAAACTGGCTTGCCTGTTGTGCAAACGGCAGTTCAAAGACAGCGAGACTCTAATCAAACACCAGAAGATGTCTGATCTTCACAAGGTAAGTTTTTTTGCAGCACTAAATAAATATTTACTGCCATAAACGAATTTCAATTGTTTGTACTTCATGCTATAATAATTTTTGCCGACAATTGATCATTTATGGGGCTAAGCTCTTAGCGGGAAACGCATATATTCAAAGTGAAACATCTCCAAAATGCATTTGACTTGATTGAGTCTGTTTTGTTTGATGTTTCAGTCCAATATGGAGCAACACATGAAGAAAATGGAATCCTCGGAAGATGACTCGACCTTTCTTCAATCGTCCAGTTCAAGTGCAAATAACCCAAACAACGAAGATGAATATGACTCCTTGTCATCCATGTTCCAGTACAGAGACAGAGCGAAAGAGAGACGAGAGAAACATGGTATCTCTGCGCCTCCTTTGCGAGAGTACGAGAAGGCTTATTCTTCGGCGTCATCATCGTCCGCAAAGTCGAAACCAGAAGAGCCACTCGGAACCACGAATGTCGGCAACAAATTGCTTAAAGGAATGGGATGGAAAGAGGGCGAGGGGCTGGGCAAGTCGAAGCAAGGGATTACGGCACCAATCAAGGTTATTTTAAATCCTTTAAGGCTTATATCATTGGTGAATAAAAGTGTGTGTTTGTGCATTGTGTATGTGGTGTTTTTTGGTGGGGCAGGGGATAAGTTTGAGCGTCAAAATTACTGACAAGAGCTTAATTAAACCTTAAATTATTTTTAGCTTTTTATTGGATTAGCTTGGTTTGCTCACTGGTGGTGTCAAGCATGATATAAATAAACCGAAGTGTCTAACCGGTTTTCTCAAGACTGGTAAAGTTTTTCATGGAAGCTCGAATAACAACTGCAAAGACTACAGTATGATATTGATATTATTTCGTTGGTACCTAATTTGAATGGAAAACCTGAGCTCAAAGTTCTTTCCCACCTTGAGTGGTGCGAACAAAAATTAATGATAGATTCAGAAATATTTTTTTTTTCGGGAAACCGCCGGCAGGCAGATTTTGTTTGTGTTATTGCGAGAAGTTAGATGAACCTTTTCATCATTCGTTTGTACAGAACTTGTACCCAACCATATTGAGGAGTATTATATTATGGGCGTTTTGTGTTTTAGGCTTCCGGGCGAGATTCGATGGCTGGGCTGGGCGCAGTCAGCTATACGAGAGACCCTAACAAGAGCTATGCCGAAAATGCACGACATGCTTTACTCAGTCGCGTCAAAGGCGATACCTGATATCTGGTTATCCTCTCCAAATTCCTCAAATGTTGTTATCTTTGCTCATTTTAGTAGTGAACTCAAACTCTTTTCGACATAAAGCTTATTAATTTGAATAGTATTGCTCGTAATTATTGTTTCTATGAAAACCTTATCTGTTTAATTCTTAAGTCAATTTTGATGTCTTGAAATTTATTCTCATATAGATACTTTTTGGCAGCCAGATATTCATCGATACAAATTCCCAAATGCCAGCGATAGAATATGAATATCTAATTAATGTTTTTTTTTCAGAATGATCATGATAGTTCAACTCAAAACATAGATTGGGGTAAACAAAAGCTGCGTCTGTGCTGTTATTTGCTGACTTTTAGTCGGCTGACGAGATTATCTGGTTTTTGAGAGGAAGTCAGATCTGATCTACTAGAGAATCCGAGAAAAGGATCAACTTTTTGCCAAGAAGAGTAAACGACTTAGGTTCTGCTGACAGGTAAATCGTTTGACATTTTTTTGTTTTTGTATTTACAATTGCAAGGTTTAAGGAGCGTAATGTAATAGTACGACTAGCGTAGTGTAATAGTAAGACTATTCTTTTTTTCCAACCTAAGTCGCAAATATTGTTGCGACGCAAATGTTGCTGCAAAATGTGTTCATTTTGAAAGTGTTCATTTTGATCAATAGCCAGCTATTAAGTACAGCCAATGCTAAGGATATTAACACAGACTATTATTTTACACATAGCACTTTAGCTTCAAAGTATCATGGATCTGTAGCGTAGAGGTAGGGAAGGAGACCCACAAAAATATAAGAGGGTTCGAACCTGGGCAGGGTCGGATGTTTTTAATGAACCTTTTCGTTTACTAGTTACAATGCGTCCGCTCTATAAATTGAGGCATTTTAGTTGATAAATATCTTTTTTTTCCAATTGGCTGCTAATGCGTCATAATTGGCTTGCGTCTCTTAGCAATTATGTAGACTCATAATTGGCTTGCGTCACTTAAGAAATTTTCTAGACTCTAAGTTTTACTCATTTAGTTTTTTTTCCAGTAGGTTATCGGTCATATTTTTGCTTGTGTATGCAAAGTGCAACTTCGCCTCTGTGTTTATACATTATGTGGTTCTATGCTTTCCAATTTATTACATGCAAATTAGTGTGGAAGACTTCAGTTTGATATATTACAAATTATTACATGCAAAATTGTGTCTGTTCGTATTTTGTGCCACTTTTGCTGCATCGGATTGGCAATTTATTAGCATATGTAGCTGCTTTATTTGTGACTAGTTTTTGCCGATTGCTAACCGTTCGTGGCCGAGAGGTAGGGCGCGAGACCCCAAATCTCGAGGTCGTAGGTTGCAATCCGGTACGTAGATAAGTTTTACTGATTCGAAGCTTAATTCTGTTTTTTTTCTTGTTTAATTTTTTAAGCTGCTTTTTCGCCTAAGCTGCTTTTTTGCGCAGGTTTGCCTCTGTGTGAAAAATTACTAGCTTATTTTTTTATTTGACAAATTGTTTTTGGTAGATGCGATTTGTTCAGTCAAAGACATTAGACTTTGATCTAAAACTCAAACAAGGCTTCTAAAATCAGAGCTACACCCTGATTGTTCCGATTACCTTTTGTCGTGTCTGAAGCAGGTTTTGGCAGAATTTTTGCAGCTTGATTTTTGATTTCTGTTTAAGTTCGATTCAAATTCATTTGCTAAAAAGAAGGCAAATTTATTCTCAAGTAACAAAAGTAAAATTGGCGTAAAAAGTGCGTTTGTCGTTCGTTTTGTAAGTGTTTATAATTTTAAGAATTGCAAAATATCTATTCACCCAGTGTTCAACCCAGTTTTCTCTAATTGTGTTGTTTTTATGAACAAAAGGTCACTCATCACAGATAATTGAAATTGAAAGAGCTTTAACGTGATGTATTTTTTCAAATTTTAAAAGTCCGTTAACAAGGTTCTGTTAGCATTTTAAGAGTCGATGATCAAAATTCAGACTCTTTTATAGGTCGCGATGTTTTTGTTTTAAGAATTGTCTTATAATATGTTTAAAGTTCAGTTCATTTGCTTTGTTAAAAAGAAGGCAAACTCCACTATCGAACAGCAATACTGATCGACGTCTAGTTTCGAATGTGGAGTTTAATGTTCTGATTTCCCAGCCTAATAATAAATGTTTTCTCAATTTGGGTTAGCTTTATTGCAAAAAAGCCAATCATAAATTGTTATACAAATTCAAAGAGCTTTAAGGGCTTATTTTTGTTCAAAAAAGCAAGTCAGTATTTTTTCTGTATCCTTGCGTTCCTTGACAGTTTTCCAACTGTCTGTTGGCTATGTTTAATTTTTTCGAAGTCTTTTTCCTAGACGATGTAAATCCCAAAACTATATGTTTTGTGCCAGATTTCCTCTCTAATTTTCTCCCGATTTCCTCCCTAACTAACCGAGTGAATTTAGTGTTTTTTTTTGCGCTGTATCCGGTTTTCCCGAAAAAGTAAGAGTGTAATCTTTCACTTCATACTACCCGTATTTACATAAGCGAAGCTTAGTGTCATAGTACGGTATCTACTTTTTTTAAACTTGAGTAGCAATTAAAAGTGCTTGTTTTTGAGGTGCTTTTGCAATTCTGTATCTGTTTTACGTTTGTTTGCTCTATAGCTTTTTTATCTGGTTTATTGTCGGTTAGTTCCTAGTTGAGTTAATTTACAGGAACTAGTTAAGTTTATCAAACAGAGCGCGAAGTCAAACAGAAAACCAAATCTGAATAGACAGGCCTGCCAAATCTGAAATTGTTATGGTGTTGGTTTTTCTTTTTTGAGTTTCTTGGACTTAAATTTTTTTCTACTTTCTTCGCGAAGCTACTGAACCGATTTTCAAGATGACAAAGACCATCTACGTCTCTGTTAGCCTGCGTATTCTACTAGTCTCTTTTCAATTCACCGGGAATTTACGACCTTCGAAATTTTCAGTTGCGTATTTGTGACCCATTTTCTTGATTTATTATAATTTTCTCGAAAAATGCCTGCGAAATCTAAGATTAAGGGTTGGATCAAAAGAGCGTGTTCTGAGAATATCCCCGGATGAGTTGCTATATCATTTTTTTTAGAAAGAGTTTTGACCTCAGAATTGTCCAATCCTTAAACGTTTTACCGTTCTTGGATTTTGTTTCCTTTTCTCGAAAACTAGTCTGTCAAATCTAAGGCTAAGGGAATAATCGAATCAACAGATTTTGTGAATATTCACTGCGCGACCCTTGTCTCCCTAGCTTAATGATTATAAAAGGTAATCGAGTTAGATAATGTACAATTTTAAGAGTAATGAACGTTTTGAAGACTCTTATATAGGTCTTGCTGATTTTTTTTACAGGAAAAAGTCCTAAAAATATTGATGCACTTAGATATAATGCACTTTTTGAGCTCAATTGATATTGATTTTTTGAAAGTGACGTAAATAGCGCTCTCCGAATACGAACGTGGAAATGGCGCGAAAAAACGTGACGGATTTCTAGTTTTCAAAGTAGAATTTGTTTTTAAGATTTCCCAGCGGAATAAAAACTTTACCTTTTGATCCAGTTTTCTCAAATTGGGTTCTTGTTATCAGAAAAGCGCCAATCATAAATTGTTCTAGAAATTCAAAGAGCTTGAAGAGCATCTATTTTTTTCTTTCAAACTCGAAAGTTGAGATTTTTTTCAAGAAAGTCAGTGTTTTTTATGCTTACTTGCGTTCATTACTCTTTTCCACTCATCGACTGGCTATGTTTTGAAGTTTTCTCCGTTTTTCGGAAACTTGGTTTTTATCGAAAAAGAGTTTGATCGGTAAAACAGGTAGTTAAAACAAGCAGTTTTATCTCTGCTTTCTCGGAGACTTTAGTCGAGAACTAGTCTGCCAAATCTGAGATGCAGTGTTCAATCAAAAAATCAAACTGTCGGTGTATCCCTTGCATCAGTTATTTTTTTTCAGTTTAGGCACGGAGTCCTCTGTGGTTTTAATGTAGATTTGATTTGTTGTACTATTTTTGGGCTTTCCCAAAAACGACCGTGCCAATTCTGATAAAAAGAAATTAAGCAAACAGGTTTGTTTTAATCTTCCCTGCAAAAGCGTCTTCTCCGTACTTATGATAGCAATCAGCTATGGACTTAGTAAATCTCCATTTTTTTGCATTTAGACTTATTTAAATTTACGCACTACCTATTGCATCAGTAATTTTTAAAATATTATCATCAGACAGGTATGTCCATCTTTTGCTGGGACCCTAGTGTTCAACTATTCTTAAGCGGCCATGACGCAGGTGCTAGTACGTGTGATTTTTAGTATCGAGGTTGGGGGGTCGATTCCGGCACATGCAGAATTTTTATAGTTTTACCTTTTATTTCCCAGTTTAGAGCTACCTTTTACCAGTTTAGAGCTACTTTTGACCTTTTTTTGCTTGAAAGTTTTTTGGTATCATTTGATTTTTAAACTATTCTTTTGTTTTACTTTTTTGGTTAGATGTTCTCACTTAAGAAACTTTGCGGAGGGAAGAAATTTTCGCTTAAGATTGACATAACAGGTAAACATTGAAACTGTTTTTTCGTGATTCGAAATGCATAAAAGTTTCTAAGATTTGTCCATTGTTGTGAAAACTGTTGATTAAGTTCGCGTTTTCAGAATTCATCACCAGTAGTTCAGTCGTTACTTCAAAGGGAATGTAAGTGCTTTTACATCATAGAAAATATTTGTATGCTTCTTGAACTCCGTGAAGCTCACCTTCACATCCCGAATTTTTGGCGGAAACATTATTGGTGGAATTGCTTGTGTTATATAACCAAAAACCTTAATTCGCTTTAAAAAGGGCCAAAAATTTTTTTCAGCGCTGGTTTTTGGTAAATATTGGTGTCTGATATTTGGGTAAAGGAATGCGCATATTTGGATTTGGATCTGGTATTTGGATAACGGAAATTTACTGCTAGAGCAGTAGCTTGCAAAGTTGAAGTTAGTCAATTGTGTAGGTGAGATTCCCGTAGGCTTTTTCTATATTTCATTTATTTATTTTTTATTTGAGCATTTTGTTATTTGAAAGCTCCCATTTGGCAACTTTTTCTTTCTTGCGAAGTGCAGCTTCTCTTGTCTTTATTATTATACTAAGGTTGTTGCAGCCGGGTACCAGACTTTTCTCCCGTTAATAATTTTGTTCACAGAATGGTCAATTTAGTAGCAAAGGTGAGTGTTCTCAATTTCTTGAAAGTTCAAAGAAAACTACCATCTTTTTAGGTTAGTTAGTAATTGAAGGGAGTTCGTTTCAGGCACTTACTTTTTTTCAGTTAAATCCCATTCGTGGTTTTCGTCTTTGTTTTCATTCTTTTTATTTGTTACCGTCATTTTTTTCCGTTCGTTGAAATGCAATTTACATTATCTGGTTTTAATGGCTTACTGTCAAAGCATGGGTTTGTAAATTTACCTAGTCTGATTTTGAATATTTTTGAATAATTTTTTAATTTTTTGAATAATTTTAATCAAACGGTTTCAGCTGATGTTATATCGGTTTATTCAACATATAGTGCGTAGTTTTGAGGGCAAAATATATTCTTATGTTTTCATGTGTTACAGTACAGATGGGTCGTAAAAACGTTATTGCTATAATTTTTTGACAACAGTTTTGTTTTCGGCTCAGTAAGGGTCCACCCAATTTTTGTCGCCTTAATTGCCGCATGGTAAATGATTCCCAATGCTTTTTACCACTGTTTATGAAAATCATCCAATACAAACATGAAAACATCGCCTCTGTGTATAATGTGTTAGTTCCGGATATGATCAAATCAAATGTGATATTTTGGGTTACTTTCTTGTAACTCATTGATAGATGCTGTAAGGCTTTTCTAATTAGTCAAAAAATTGTTGGCGGTGTTTATTTAGATTATGCTCTTTTTTTGAGAATTGGATTAATAACCATCATTCAAATTGTAGGAAAACCTGACCCTCCCAAAGTTTCGGATGTGTATAATTTCCGATACACCGCTAATTGAACTTTTAGCTTGATGGTATGTTTAGATAGATTACTGCAGTGCAAATGAATATCTTCCGCCGCTGCACGCACTCAGTGTCCTCAGACGAGACAGGAGGGGGAGGGGCCACTGTGACTCATGATGAAGTACTGAATCCCTACTCCATCCTAGGAGAGGGAGAGAACTTCCCAGTTTACCTCAATGTGTACGACTTGGTAAGAGTTATGTTTCTCACCTTGTTACCATCAGTCCTTTTTGATAATTTTGATTCAATTTAAAATCTATATAATGTTGAGAACAGCCTTGAAGGCAATTTAGTTTTTTTTCAAATAGAATTGATTATGTACTCGCTCAGATGAGCTATCCTGTTGCCATCATATAGAAAAAATAGTGATTTACACCCCCTATGCAACTTCTGTTTTTGAGTGCTCATTTTTGTGTGTTTCAGAACCGCCTGAATAACTACACAGGACCTGTGGGGTTTGGAGTATATCACACGGGAGTTGAGGTCCATGGAACAGGTAAGAAATTGAAATTGAATAACGAACTAAAGATATATCCAATAGCTAGTTATCCTACTGTATACTTTACAAAAGTTCACGCATGGATCAGTTGTTCTGTTGCTATGCGAAAACATTTGTAAGTCTATTGTATTACCCCGAAGTTCGAAGAGGTACATATGTTTATTGTTCCGACCATTGAAAATGGGGAGGAACTTTGTATTTGGGTGTGTTTTAGTTTTTTTTTTCAGGTACCACAAATAATGATCGGACTGGGTTAAGTGATATATCATATTCAAGCCCTTTCAGTGATTACGTCTCAAATGGCATAATTCCCAAATGGCATAAAACTGAAAAATTTCCCAAATGGCACAAATCTCATGCAACAGTTGCTTTGGAAAAATCGAGAGCAATTTTTTCGTGAACAATATAGAAAACAATTCAAATTGTCAATTCAAATGTTGATTGATATTTTATCTTTAAAAACTTGTAGAACTTTTTATCAAAAGCAAGAAGCATAAGCTTGCGGTTATTAATACGCTACTTGTGGTGAATTTTTTTCGACAAATCTGTTGCTTAAAATTGTTTGGAAGCAATTAATTCCAAATCTTGATCACATGCTTTCGTTTCTGACAAAATGTTAGAATTCGAAATTGATAGAAAACGTTGAAATTACAATGAAAACTTGAAATTTATGCCATTTGGGAAAAGTTTCCATTTTTATGCCATTTGGGAATTATGCCATTTGGGAAGTTACCCTTTCAGTTATGATTTGAGCGACATTGAAAAAAGTTTGAATTTTTTTCACAGTGTCGAGAAAAACCGGTTTAAAATTTTTGATTTTTGGTCTAATTTCGAGCTAATAAGGTGACCGTATATGCTCACAATAGCTTATTTAAGCTTAACTTCAGCTGTGAAAACTTAGTTTTATTCAAGTAAAGGTGGTTTCTGGAGTTTTTTGCGCAATTTATGGAATCAAAAACTTGAAACTATGACTCTCAAATATGCCTAAATTCTGTTTTTTTTGTTCAAATTTTTGATCATAATATGCAGGAAAAAAAGGACATCAATTTGTAGAAAAAAACTTTTTTTTTCCTATTATTTTAAGACTGGTCGGAACATTCTGTGCTACTTGCACAGTAACCGGCTATCCTTTTTTAATTTTTAGAATACAGTTTCGGGGGCCACCCCTACCCTATCAGTGGAATATTTGAAATGGACCCTAGATCAGCAGCCGACCTCGGACAGAACTTCAACTACAAGTGAGAAATTGTGTTGAAATGGTTCCTCATTGGTAATTTTTATTTGTAAAATATTTCATTGAGAACTGAAATAATTTAAAAATCGAATAGTTGTGAGTTCATGGCTGGTTGCTACTGCCAACTAAAGTGAGATTTTCGAAAATGTATAATTCCCAATTGCTGATTTTTCATAAGTGTTAAATTGGAGGTATTATGTCATATTTCTCGAGATGTTGGCATTAAAAAAAAGAGGGTTTTGACATATGAGTATGATGTAGGGAGACTGTGGTTCTGGGCCAGACGTATCTTGATCTGGAGAGTGTTCACGAGATAGTGCAACAGTTAGGAGAGGACTTCAAAGGATACACTTATCATTTAGTCCACAAGAACTGCAACCACTTTTCAATGGCATTCTCCAGGGTAAGACCGCAGCCAGTTGTGGAAATCTAAAGTTGAAACCAGAGTTTCATTTTAAATGTTAGCAAAGGTCTTGTCTCAAAAGTAACCAAAAGTTGACCGACCTACAGCAGTCTTTACACTTGTAATATAATCGGTTATATAATTTTTATCCTGTAATCAAATAATTTAATAAGATGACCTTTTTCAAATTATTTTGAATGACTTACACTCATAATATCTTATAAAAGCGCAGTAAAATGGCAATTTGTTTTTATATTTCTAAATACGCGATTACTGGAGATTTTTTTTCGGGTGATAAAATCTAACTTTTGGAGGACTCGGAGTGGTCTTGTTTTTGTGATGTTGATGTCTGTTCTATTTAAATTCAGATTCTCTGTGGGGCTGAGATTCCCAACTGGGTGAACAGACTGGCCTCTCTCACCGCCTGTCTGCCCTTCATCCAGAGATGCATCCCGGCAGAGTGGCTCACCCCAGTCGCCCTCGCAGAGTCCCTTCGCAACAATTCAGACGCCACACCACTCACAGACGAGGTCGGCAAACAAATAATACTTATGATTATAGTTTTTGATGAAACGAAGTACTTTACACAGCTTTAAAGCATTTCATTACTTCATGGATCGCTGTTCTAATGAAACTTAAGCCTGTTTTGAGGCGCCTCAGTGAGCAAACTACATTATAGGACCTAAATTGACATCAAGCTTCTCAAATCTTTTTTTTTAAAAGATTGCTTCTATTTGGGTTAGGTGTCAATGAACGAAGTGAAGACACTTATTTGGCCAAGACACTTATTCATTGTGGTTTTGTTTTCTATGCGATTAGAAAAGGTTTTTCAACCCTGAATTAGACTTTTTTTAGTAAATAGTTCTAATTTCCCTCAAGTTCGAAAGAAAATAGAATCTCAAAATTAATTTTTTCTATTCAAGTAGCAACTTTTGTTTTATCACGCTTTAGCTTTTTTCCAATAAACAGAACAATTCTTTTTAAGATTTCTTCGTTCTGTTGATGTATACAGATAAGTTTATATTTATCGATTTCAATTAGCATGAGCTTTATCTGTTGAATGAAGCAGCTATCTTGGCTGCGTGTTTTGTTTTACAAAAGTGGGTGAACATGTACGAGTGTTTGTCTAAGCCCGACGTGTGTTCGATCCCCATGTGGCTCGATCAAGGTTTCTCAAAGCTCAGTTCTGCCGTTTTGGTTATTCGTTTACGAAGTGCATCTTCACTGCCTTTAAAATAGTGTGACTCGGTGGAATATTTCTGTGTGAATATTGTATCGGTTCAACTACTTTATCGAGCTTGCGAGCGTTGTGTATTAGTTCGAACCTTCTTTTTTTCTAACCTAGCTCAAATAGAAGTGCTCATTTAGTGGCGCTTTGGCTATAATCACGATCTGTAGCATTGGAAATTTCATAGCATCTGTTTTCTGCTTTATTTGCGGCAAGTGTTTGTGCATTGTTATGCTAGTGCGTGACACTCAAAACCCTAGGTCGCAGGATCGAATCGATTATTATTTACTTCGAGGCCTATTTCTTCTTTTTCTTAGTTCACATAATAGAGCTGCTTTTTTGCCGTGTTCTCGCGAAAAGTCTTAAAATTTGCACACGCTCAATATTGAATTTTCGCGATTTGACTTTGATTTTTTGAATTTCATTCATTTCCTTTGTTAAACTGAAATTATTCTCCACTATCGAACAGCAAAAGTGTAACGGTCACAAAAAATGTGATCGACCTTTAATTTCAAAGTGGATTTTAGTTTTCAGATATCCAAGCGGAATAAAAACAGCATATTGATTCAGTTCTCTCGAATGAGTTAATTTCAATAAAAAAGTGTCAATCATATACTGTTATTGAAATTTAAAGAGCTTTGAGGCAATACATTTTTTCTACTATGAAATTTGAAAGTTGAAATTTTCTTTAAAAAAAAGTCAGTTTTTTTTCTGTTTCCTTGCGTTCAGTGGCTCCATTCCAACTGTTTGTTGGCTATATTTTAGTAAAAAGTATTTTTGACCACGCTCAAACGTAATTTGCGGTTTGACTTTTTTAGAATTTGTTCTCGCTCAAATAGGAATTTTCGCTGTTTATTCTATGAGTTTTATGTTCAATTCATATCATTTAATGAAAGGAAGGCAAACTCCACTATCGAACAGCAAAAGTGCAAATGTCACAAAAAACGTGATCGATTTCTAGTTTCGAAAATGGAATTCAACTTTCAGATTTCCCAGCGGAATCAAAGTTTCACCTATTGATCCAGTTTTCTCGAATTACCAAAAAACTCAATCATAAATTGTTCTAGAAAGTCAAAGAACTTTAGAGCCAAATATTTTTAAATATGAAATTCAAAGAGTTGAAGTTTTGTTTATGAAAAAAAATCAGTTTTTCTTTTGTTTCCTTGCGTTCATTGACTCTTTTCTAACTGTCTGTTCAGGCAAATTTCGTTCTCCAATAAGAAAAGTGGATGTCCAATATCGAATGAAACGCAATGACAACAAAAAAAGAAGTGGTTGACTTATAATTCAAAATGTGGATTTTATTTTTTAGGTTTAGCAGCGAAACAAAATAGTTAGATTTTATTATTCAGATAATGAATTTTTGATTGCCGAACTGCGTTTCCAGGTGCAAATCACAGCGAACGGTATCCTTGACTCTCAGGTGATCAGCAACAGCTCCTCTCGGAATGCAATCGAAGTGTACGACTCAGTGGGAGGAGCCACGACAACAGAAAACAATGCGGTGCACTTTGTTGGGAACATTTCCCAAAATACACACCCCTCTAATGCACGAAGTAGACCAAGTTACAGCAGCTAAACGAATCGAAAGGACAGTGAAGTTCAAAAAGTGCAGACTTAGAGACTAACTTTCTTCAATTCTTTTGGATGACCTGCATTTCAAACTCCTACAATTTCTGTCCCTAAAGATTTCTTCCCTGTCCGAAATCAATTTTGTTAAACTCTTTAAATTGTTCATTTTCATGTACATAATTTATCTTATCGACCTTAGGTTAACATGATATTACCATCCCAGAGTGCATGTTAATATTTGTACTGACATGATGTATCTTATTCCTTGATTGTTAGCTGGCGAGATTTGATTTGATTTTTTGAAAATTAAATCAAGGCTACTGAATGATGGCCTAACAATGACTATGAAAGAGCAGAAAATTGGAGTTACTGCTATTGAAATTTAGTCGTTCAAGTTTGACTGCACCTTTGAGTGCTTTAGATACATAAAACTTGTGCATCTTTTTATCGCTAATTATTTTTCTATCCAACCAATGAATTTAAATTTTTTAGCTGTTTTTTTTCTCTTGGAAGCCATACAATCGGTCCTTTTTACACTTTGGAGGTATCAGCACCTGCTATTTTTCAAAATTGATTATTTTTCGAGACTTTAAAAAAATTTGCATTTTTTCTTTTGATTTTTCCATAGTTTATTGTTTACTTGTGTTTGTCAAATTTAGCATTGGTTTTGCAGATAGATCATCATCAATTGTACCACTATTTGATATCTATTTTGCCTTAGATCTAGAGAGAAATACTAAAGAATAGAAAAAAAAGAGATTACAAAAGGAAGACTTCGATATAATCGCTTTAGATTTCTTTCAGACCACAGTCCAAGAATATTTATGCGTTAATGTTGTCAGTTTCTTCTTAGAAAAGTTTTATTTATGTTTGATTCATTTAACCAAGTATGTGTATAAAATTGAGTTTTACATTTGTTTTTAGCACTGGGATATTTAATGCTTTCTGCTCGTATTTTTGAAAAAATAACGGAATAGTTTTGCTCGGGAGTAATCAGTTTATTCGCACCAACTTAGGCAATCGACATAGTAATTTCCAATGAAGATTGTTGTCAGCTGAAATATTTTTGTCAGTTGAAATCAAACAGTCAAGATTGATGAAATTTAGACATATCTATAGCTAATGTTTTGTTTTTGCCATGGCGAATGGATAGGTCATTAAATTAAAAAGACCAATTTATACTCAAACGTTTGCCTGAAATGATCGAAGTTTGCTAGAAAGCTGTTGTCGACATAAATCCTAATTCTTAACGTTTGAAAAATTGGTTTCTGAGCTTATATTTTCTGCTGATACCAATAAACCAGTCAAAACTGAAATTTCGAAAAATGTTTTTCTGTGACGTTTAACTTTTCTAATTTTTGCAGAGGTTTTTACAGCTGAATAATTGGGTTACGACTTCGATGCAATAATTATATCATGTTATTAGCGAGCTTGCGAGCGGTCGTTTATTGGAACGAACCTTCTTTTTTTCTAACCTTTTTCGCAAATAAAAGTGTTCACTAATTTGGTGGCACTTTTATATAATAATGATCTTAAGCATTGGAAATTTCGTAGTTTTTTTTCTGTGCTTTATTTGTGGCTAAGTGTTTTTTAAGCGTCCGTGGTTAGTGTGTGAGAATCATCATCTCTAGTTCGCAGATTGAATCCGAGACGTAGCCGAATGCTCTTTTTACTAACTCGAGGCTTAATTCTACTTTTTTATTGCAATTTATGGAGCTGCTTTTTGTGTTCTCGCTAGTGTTTGTGAAGCGCAGCTTTGCCAATATGCGATGTAAAAATTTGAGCTTTGAACTTGTATTCTCTAGATTGTTGTCTACAATTAGTGCGAAACATGCTATTCGAAGTAGAAATTTAAAGGATCGTAAATTACAGAAGGAAATTGAGAACTGAATAACGCACTTTTAGTCATCAAACAAAAGGTCAACAAAAGGTTGTAAAAAGGCATAATAGTTATTTTTCTTCTCCCCCACGTGAAAAAAGCATCGTTTTTTGAGTTTTAAAAGCGTAACTATCGAGGCCAATTATGTTTGTGATGGCTTAATTAGCCCTTCTGGCAATTTTTGTGACATTTTGCCTGACCAGAAAGGTCAAAAAGGTCTTCGATCACTCAAAAATCCAAGACTTTGTTAAACCAATTTCAACTTTTAAATTAAAAAAAATTTCCAAACTTTTTCATACCGTCTGAAAGATAGCGTTCCCTTAACTCAATTGTTGAGAGATCTTAAAACTGTGTGAAAATTGCTACTCTGGCTAATTTTGGATAAGTAACGCGTGATTTGTCGCGTTCTTACAACACGTAAGCGGTGGGCTTTTTCCCCGCCTCACACAAGATTTTTTTTATGGTGTAACGAAAAATTTACAGTTCAAATTTGAAAATCTAATAAGTTTGTCAGGGCCTCATCATTGTTCATGCAATTTTCAAAAATGGACAATCTAGACGAAACAATTAACTTGTGAAAAGCTCAGGTTGGGGGAGGAAAGGAAAAGAGCTACGCGGTAATTTAAATAATCGCAAATTTAATTGAGGCAAAATTTGTCTGTTTGATTTTGACAAAACATGCGAGGGGATATAATTATTTCAAATTTTGTTACAGTATTCTGTAAACATCAAAAAAGTTGCTTAATCAAAATTTGCTTCTAAAATTACCAAAAGTCAGTCGCCACATTGTCTCATATACCCTGACCCAAAAGAAAAAAAAGGAAATTTTTTTCAATCTCAAATATTCATCACTTTTAAAAATAAGATTAGCAACAAATTTGCCCGTATCACTGCAAATTCTTCAATATTGCATCTTCTGTAAGGTTTTTGAATAAGTTTTTGGCTGAGAATTTCACTTAATTTTTAAAGGAAGCCTTTAAAAGTGCGAAATTGTTTATTTCGTATCTTGTCACTTTTTATTGGTGCCTCATTTGAATTCAGGCTGATGTTCGTTTTACACGTTCGCCACAAATAATTTGTAAAAATGACTTTTTGTTCGCGCTTATGAGTATGCGCTTTTTTCTCTATAACATTTTTTGTAGCTTACAATTTTACAGCGTTTTGCATATTTCAGTTTTTTTACATTGAAAACTGATAAAAACAATTTTTTGCTGAGTAAAAATGGCAAAAAATCATCAACACACTTAAAATCTGTCTGTTTAGTTTTGAAGTTTATAAAATGGGTTCGAATTCAGCTGTTTTTTAACTTTTTTTATATCAACGCGTGATATGTCGCGTTCTTACAACGCGTAAGTGGTAAGCTTTTTTTCCTTTTCCCCCTCTTACACAAGGTTCGGTTCAGTGTTATGGTGCAACAAAAATTTTACCGGCCAACAGGTTTGTGATGGCCTCTAACAGGTTTTAGTCTACATTGTTCACTTTTTTTGAAACTTATGTCAGTTTCAAAAAAAGTAAACAATGTAGACTAAAAAAGTTACTTGTAAAAAGTTACAGATTGGGGAGGGAAGGAAAAATAGCCAAGCGGTAAACTAAATAATTGCAAACTAAATTGAGGGTAACAATTTGGTCTATGTAATATGATAACAGACTCCAAATATGTCTGTTTGAATTTTTTTACAAAACGTGCAAAGGGATAAAAATTATTCCTATTTTTTGTTACATTTTTCTTTCAAACAATTATTAAGTTTGCTTAAAAACCTTTTTTTTCCTAAATTTGCCAAAATTCAGTCGCAACCATGGCTCTTTTTGGCTCATTTCCAGTTTCCCCCCTTTCACACTATCGAGTTTTATGTTTGTTTTACGTGTTATTACGGCTAAATGCGTGATGTTACGCTGTAAAGTATGAAGAACAAATCTGTTCACAATTGTCGATTTGTTCACCATGCCAAATTTCATTGCATTATGACAACGTTAATTAAGCTTTTCAAAATGGAATTTAAAGGGGGGGAACTGGAAAAGAGCCCTCTTTTTTTGCTCCCCTTCAACCTCACATACACCATTAATTTTCTGGTGTAAAGATAGGCTTATACAAGGTCAAGTACGAAGGTCGATGTGCACCAAAAATTGCAAAGTCAAAGCAAACCACAGAAAAATGCAAACTTAAAAGAATCCTTCCCACCCACCTCGCATGAGCATCAATTTTATGGTGTGACTGATGGTTGTTACAGGGTCGAGCATGAAGACCGAATTTGTTAGTCATAGTTTTTTGTCACATAAAATTCAACTTTATAGTGTAACGATGGGTTGTTAAGGTCAAAATTGAAACCTCAATATAATTTAAGGTTTTTTGAAACCTCATTATAATAAGTATTGGTTCAGTTCAAAAGTGCACCAACTATCTTTGTACTTGACTGTAGTAGTTTTTGAATGTTGAGTGTGCAGACCAAATGTGTTTTTCGTGGCTTAGCTACGCCGCACGCCAATTTTCACGCAAATCAGAGAATGTGAAGAATTCTTTTTTAATAAGAATTGGCAAGCGAAGTGGGGAAGGAAAAAGAGCCCAAGCGTTTAGCCATAATCACATGTACAACAACCATAAAAGTAGAAAATTTAAATGCGGGGGACTGGAAAAGAGCCGGGAAAAAGGAAAGGAGCCGCCGTGTTCAAGACTTCACCATGGTACCAGCAGTCTTGTTTTCTTCTTTACCTCCTTTCTTTTTTTACTATAAGTAAAAATTATAGTTCATGTTTGATTGATAGGAAAATTGGCTAGACTAGTTTAGGCGGACTAATAAGGCCATGCCAAACATATTTGTTATTCATCTTCAACCTTGTAAAAGTGATCGTTAGACCACATTATTGATGATTATTTGAGGTGGGGGAAGGGCCTCTTTGCTCCTTACTTAAAAATTATTTTGTAAGAATATACCTTCATTGCGCGCAAAAAAAAAGTAAATCATAGCAAATAACAAATTGTATACCATCAAACAAGCTTCTATGCACGTGCTTTTTAGATGGCCACAATTTAAAAAAATCGCGAGAGAACGTTTTAGTGCTTTACAGACAGTGTTTAATAATATCACATTGTCAAATCAAATCATTATCTGAAGCGATTGCCTGCAAAAAATTATTTCTCATATTATTTCAAAAATATTTTTTCCTTGAATTGGCGCCTGGGATTTTCAAAGCAAGCAAAAACTCAGCTTGAAGAATTATCACTATTGTTTACCAAATTAAATTGGTTGTTTCTTAAAACCTGTGCTGTATCGAAGTTGATTAACCCAAGAAGTATATCGAAGTGAGCAGTGAAGACCTTTTGATAGCAACTTAAAATTTTAAAATGTAGGCTCTTTTCCAGCCCACCCGCCGTGGAGTTGGAAAAAACCAAAATTTAAAAATCTTTTTATTTTTGTTTAAAAAAAGAAAACTTCTCAGCACTAGACGCTCCTAATTTTGATAAACTGTTTTCAAAATTGTTAGCCATTGTATCGTTTCTTAAAATGATCTAAAAAAGGTCAAAAGGTCTTAATCACTATACGTGACAGAGACATGGACGCGGAGTATCTGAAGGAAGTGATGGGGGAGTGCGTGACTGAGGGACTGTTGGAGCTGGTGGAGAAGAGACCCCTGGATCCCATAGAGTACCTGGCACACTGGCTCCTCAAGTACAAACAGGACCAGAAGTTCCATAGGGAGGTAAGGTCACGACAGTCAAATATTTAATTTGTTCATAACAAACAATGAGAAATGTTCACTCAGACAACCTGAACTGTGCAATAGAAAATGGTTTCCCAAGTCGAGTCACCTTGAAACTTTTGCCAAATTTCAATTTCCATAAAATAAGATTCTTCAATACCTTTAAAAATATCAAAGACTTTTACCTGATAAATTTTACAGATAGAAAAGCTATTTAGTATAAGGTAAACACAACAACATCTCAAACAAAAGAATATAGAAATTTGTCAAAAATATTGCGTTTTGTTCCGACTTTAAGAAGTGACGCAACTTTTGTGCTCCGGGGTGGTTTGTGCTCCGAAATTTGTCTTATGGTGTTTTTTTCTTCAGATAAATTTCGACTTTTTCTCTAACCATTTTGACGGATGTTTTTATATCATTCAAAAAACATTGTTGTCCTGAGCTCAATTTTGAACAGAATTTTTTATAGGGGTTTAAAGATTGCCATTGCGGCCAATTTGGGACAATTAACGCGCGATATATTTCGCGCTATTAACGCGTAATCGGAGATTTAACCTGTCTTAGAAATCGATTCAAATTGGTCAAAGGAAGCTAAATTGCCATAATTGATTTGTTGCTAGGAGTGAAATCTATCACTTCGTACTTTATATGGGGTGTGGGGGGATGATTTTTACATAAATCTCAAATTAAAATTTTTTTTACGTTCAAGTTTTTCATGTTACAACTGCTCCATAGATCTTAAAAGGCAGTTGGAACATTCAGGGCTTCTACATGATGCAAGCAGTCATGTTCATTTTTATTTTTATCGAATCACTGTTTTTATGGTTCATTTTGGAGATTTTTCCCGCGAGTTACACTTCCGCGCTAGGTTGGTCTATCTCCGTGCACTTCCTATAAATACTTAATCCATATAGAATATGCATTTACAACGAAGTGGACTGAGATATATCAAACGAGCGGGGAAGTGTAGTTCGCGGGAAAAGCTTTTGCTATCGATAAGAGTAATTTGCTTCAAAATTGAAACAATTAAGTTGTTCATTGTGAAATATGGCCGAGGCTTTTCTCTTTAATTATGAAAATAAATTAACCGAAATACAAAAATAAACTTAGATAGCCTGTTACTGCACAAAAAGCACAGAATGTTCCGATCATAGTCTTAAGAAATACAGCAAAAAATTTCAGATTAGGGTCGTTTTGCGTGGTGTGTCGTCTGCGTGGTGTAATAAAAATATCGGCTCTTTTCCACTTTTCCCCCCACCTTTCAAAATATCGAGTGTTATGCTTGTTTTTTGTACTATTAGGTTACGAAGTAAAGTATGAAAAACAAATCTGCTCACTGTTGTCGATTTGTTCACCACGCCAAGTTTCATTGCATTATGACAACGTTAAATAAGCTTTTCAAAATTGAATTTAAAAGGGGGGAAACTGGAAAAGAGCCAAAATCCAAAGTATCTGTACAAAAAACAAGATCTTAGAAATACTCGACTTTCATAGTAAAAAAAGCAATTTGCAAAAAATAATTTTTTAGAAAAATGACAAAAAAAATAAAATCACAAAAGTTTTCTTGTAGTTGATCTTTTGAAGTTTTGATTTCAAAAATGCTATAATACTCAAAAAATTAATATCATTTTTTTACGGCTAAAATAAAGCTATTGTAAGCTTTTAAGCTATTGTAAGCCTGCTCGCTCATTTTATTTGCTTGAAATTAGACCAAAAAGTTTGAACGGGCTTTTCTTGAAACCAATAATTTTTTTTTAAAATTTTTTATGTCTTTCAAATCACGACTGAAAGGGCTTCAATATAATATATCATTCAAATCACTCTGATGATTATTCGTGGTACCTGATTTTGCGTGGAAAACGAAAAAAGAGAAAACCTAATCACCCGAATATAAAGTTCATCCCCATTTTTCATTTGGTCAGGTTATAAACTTCAGGTTACTGTCATATTGTTGAATGGATCTTCCATGTAAGTTTTCTGAAGCAATATTACTGCGAGCTTGTTTGAAAAAAAAAATATGCGCATTTGATTATAAAAATTAATGCTAGGCGGACATTTTACGCACTTTTACCTCATCCCACTTCACATAAGCATCAAGCTTATAGTGTAGCGAGGGCTTTTACAAGGTTAAATAAGAAGACTAAAATTTTTTCCATGGCCTAATCAGTCTGCTTGCCAAGTTCTATAACAATCAAACATTGTGAACAAAAATTATTTTGTAAAGTTTCGCAAACGGGTAGGAAAAGACTGATTTTAGGGTTGATCCTTTACAGCAAAAAACTGTTTAGTTGTAAAACCTATGATCTGCGAATTAAAGTAAAACATTTTTTTCTTTTCGAACTTAATTGGCCTGAGTACATAAAATTTTAGTTTTTCCAATTATTATAAAAGCCAATAATTTCAAATGAAGTAGGCATTGAATTAATCAAATGACTGAATAGTTAATGAGGAAGTAAACATAAGTTTCCGAGAACGAACAACAGGAATGGAAACAAATAAGTTTCCATCTCCGCCGACGCTGAGCTATTGGCGGAAGAAACAATGAGTTAGGTAAATCTCATTTTCCGTATTTAATTTTTCTAAAGCAACAATGTTGCTCCTATTCTCTGAGTAAAACTCTTTGAGCGAGCAGTTTCAACTTTTCGTTTCAACAATCATTGATATTCACCTATCCCCCACTTTACGTAAATGCTCACAGTACTTGCTACAAAAAGCAGTTGGGGGATAATTACATTGAATTATCTAAATCTAAAGTCAGTTATCTGATTTTTTTAAGCAACTATGTCTCTCATTGCTCATATTTTAGAAAAGCTCTAGTGTGAATTAAGAACAAATTCATTTTTTAAAGATAAGTATTTGGAACTACTCGGCTTTTCCATCTCTCTCCAGCCTGCAAATTTTTACGTGTAATTCTTTCACTCACAATATCCTGTTATTATCAAAGTCAGCGTGCGAAAAAAAAAGCGAATATCAATGATTGTTTTAACAAAACGAAAAATGATGAAATTGCTCACTTAAAATTTTTTCACTCCTGGGTTATTGTCATTCTTTTTCACTCAAAATTTGAGCAACATCGTTGCTTGCTGTAAAAAAATAATTTAATAATAACAGATCTGATTTTTAGGCTACTTAACTGATTATCCGCCGATCGCGCAATTGGTTGAGCGGAGGACTGTAGAGAGCACTGTGATCCTAAGGTCCCAGTATCGAGTCCCGGAAGGCGGACAGAAAACTTTATTTGTGTCCGTTCCTATAATTTTTTCAAAAAATTACTTTCGATCAATCTTTTACTCCATTCTGAAATTGATTTTATTCTGAAAGAGAGAAATTACAAGGTATTGCATTCAGACTAATTGCACTGGAAAGTAGGGGAATTTTATTCATTTATTTTACATTGGCAAGGTTGAAAAACTTTTGAAGATCTAATTGCTGCGATTGCGTAGATAAACTGAAGTTTTGGTATACGAGCTAATTAAATTATTCCAAGATTCCCAAAAAGCAAAAATGTTGAAATTATTTTTTTTTAAAAGTTCTCACTCAAAGATTTTGAGCAGCATCGTTGCTTGCTGTAAAAAGAATGAATAAATAATACCAGATTTGAACTTTAAGCTATTTAAGGTATTATCCGCCGATAGCGCAGTTGGTAGAGCGGAGGACTGTAGAGAGTACTGTGATCCTTAGGTCCCTGGTTCGAGTCCGGGTCGGCGGACAGAACATTTTATTTGGGCTCTTTTCCAGTTCCCCCCTTTCAAATTCAAACTTGAAAAGCTTATTTAACGTTGTCATAATGCAATGAAATTTGGCATGGTGAACAAATCGACAACTGTAAACAGATTTGTTCTTCATACTTTACAGCGTAACATCACGCATTTAGCCGTAATAACACGTAAAACAAACATAAAACTCGGTATTTTGAAAGAGAGGGGGGGGGGAACTGGAAAAGAGCCTTTATTTGTTTCGGTTCCTATAATTACAAGGTAATGCAAGGTAATGCATGAAGACCAATTGTATTCGAAAGTAGGAGAATTTTATGCCTCTTTTTCCTTCTCCCCCCACCTCACACGAACATCAATTTTTTTGGTGTAACGAGTGGTTTTACGAGGTTGGTTTTGAAGAGCAAATATGATTTTTTAAGACCATTTATCCACGAGGGACAGGACCAACATACGATCTGTACAGCTCATCATGGCGAACCGCTGTTGTGCCCCCGCTTAAGAACTACATACTTAATGTTTGTCATGGCCTAATTAGTCTGCTTGTAGTTGTCATGGCCTCACTAGTCTGCATTTTTCATAACTATCGGACTATGTTATCAACAAATTTACTTTTTTCATATTGACGAGATTGAGTAACTGTTGAAGATCCGACTGCTGCAATTGCGTAGATAGTACTCTGATGTTTTTTGAATTTCAATATTAATAATTGTCAGTCACATGTTCTATTGGATTCTTGCAAAAATGGATTGGATAGGTTAAAGAGAAAATATTTAAGACATTAAAATCAGTCTATTTTGAGTCATAATTCTTAAATTTGATTTTTGTTGTTGATGTTGTAGCAAACAGACCTGCTGAGTCGCATGGAAAGAGAGGAGCGGGAAAAGGAGATTGAGTTGGAGAGGAAGAGACTGATCCAGGAGGAGAAGGCACGCATGCAGAAGGAAGAACAGGAGAAGAAACAGGTCAGCTGAAATATTTTATCTATACTCTCACTCGTCTAAAACCCGGGTTGATCTCCGCGGTAACACTCGCGCCGTGCACGCTTAAAGACGAGCCGTACGAATGCCAAAATATTCATCTTACGAAAATATGAAAGTATAACGAAACCATACTATCAACTTAGGTATTTAGAAGCAACCAGCGTTTCTCTACTCGTTAGTTTGTTTTAAATTTTTTTTGAAATGTTCAAAAACTGTTGATCAAAAGAAATCTTCAAAACTCGCAAAAAAAACTAAAATAGATAGCAAATTTCCTTAGATAAACCATAAAGCTATGACAAAATTGAGTATAGGTCTTACTGTTTCAATATAATCTACAACCAAAATGAACAAACATAAGAAAAACTACTCTTTTCTAGGCTGAAGAAAAAGCGGCGGCTGAGAGTGCGGCATCTAGCAGTGTAGCAGGTGACAGTGGCGCATCTGCGGAAGGCGACGCCGCAGCCGCTGCACCCGGGTCTGACGCGGGACTACCTGGAATCAAAGAAGAGGACGAACCCGTAGATGAAGCTGCAATCGCGGCTGCCGCTGCTGCTGCTGCGGCGGCGGAGGCTGCCGATGAGTCGGCTGTCCCTCCCACTGTAGATCCGGTAGCGGCGGAGGGCGACGGAAACCAAGTGTCCGAACAAAATGCGGAATCAACAGAAGTGAGCGTTTTTTTTATTAATTTTTAATTTCAGAGCATTCTTCAAAATGTCAAAAACAACTTATAAAGCCTACAGTGCCTGTGCAAATATGAAATGTAAGCTCACGTCTTTTTTTGTAGTAGTTTTCTTTAGGAAAAAATTGCTGAAAGTATATCCATTTCTGTTGTGTTTATGCTTTTTTCCCCAAACTGGGGACTCTTGGGGATTCTTGCTCAAATAAACATATTAATCAAAATAGAGGCACTTAGCATAGTTATAAGGCGTTCGTTCACTTTGAAATCGTCAGATCGTGTATTCGATCCCATGCCATGGCAATGATAGTGTGTCAAGACGAGCTCTCACTTGACCTCTAGCTTCAGGTTAACCACAGCCTTACCAATTGAGGCTGCAATAGTGGTAACAAGTGTAAGTTCTAGACGCAAAAAAAACGGCCTTGAGTCGCAAATAAAGAGCTTCGCTCAACAAAATAACACAGTCTCGTGTGTATGGAGACAATACAAATGGACTATCCTCGACAGGACTGTTAAAGCCTACTGATAGGTCCTGCAATTCGCAGTAACCACATTCTCGAATAGTTTTAGAAAATGATAATAATTTGAAGAATTAGTACACTTACTTGGGCTTCTTTTTTCAGCCTGAACAAACAATCCCACCCGCAGAAACAGGAGAAGACCAACCGGATGAGCCTCAAGAGCCAACAGAAAACGAAGAAGAATCATAGTGACATCAGTTTGAATGAACTAATTACAAAATGGCAGGCTGCATAGTTCAATTGATTTCATTTATAATAAAAATGTTTCAAATGACAGGAAAATTTAAAATCTAAAGAACTCAATTTTTTGCCTTTTGAGTTAAATGTCGAACAATTTTAATTGGCGAGGAACTTGGCATACTTGTTATTTAAGCCCAATGATTGACAAATCTAGAATTCAACTTCCTACTATTACATTTAGACAAAAAATTGCCACTGACTTCGAACAAATGGTTTGCGCAGCAAAAAAGGATAGCTGGTTACTGTGCAATAAGCACAGATTGTTCCGAGCTTAGTCTTTTAAAAATACAAAAAAAAAGTTTTTTTTTTCAAATTAGTGTCGTTCTCTTTTGCAAGGTGTGATAAAAGAATCTGATCGACAAACTAGAACTTGAGCATATTCGTTATGCTTATTTTACATATAAAGAAAGAAAGAAAGAAAGAATATATTTTTCTTTTTATAAACAATATATCAGCATAATTAAATTTACCACATTTAAAGCAGGAACGGATAGACAACGGGACCTGTTGGTCCACTAAAAGTCTACCCTTTTATTCAAATTAAACATCTCTAATGAAACAAATCAAATTAAACAATACGAGCAAATATATTTTTATTTAAATACAAAAGCTACAGCTCGTGAAAAAAAAAAATATATATATATATATATATATATATATATATATGTATATATATATATATATATATCTATTTATAAAATTATGTTGACATTAACTAACTATTGAATTAGTACCAAACTTAACAATACTTCCAGGGCGCTGTAATATTATATGTATAATTTTTTTTTTCGAAGTTTTTCAAAAAAAATTAGTGAGAAAAATTCAAAAAAATCAAAAAACCTCGATATCTCGAAAACTAGAAGGATTTGGGAGGTCATTTTTTTACACAAAAAAGCTTGATATATAGCTGGTAGTCCTGTAGCATGCAAACAACGGGTATGGGTTCTAAATTTTTTTATAAGCCAAATATATGTTTCACTAATTCATGGTTTTGTACCAGGTATTTTTTTCAAAGAATGGTAAATTGCCGAAATTTCTGGAATAGAACAACTTTTGACGTGTGCAGGTATCAAATTCAAAACCCGCAGCTTATTAAAAGGTTTACAAGCGCGATATCGAATCGAAAAGCGCTCAATTTTGCGTTTACAAAATGGTTCGAACAGACGGCTGCTATCAGAATTTCTAGTAGCTCTTTTTGCATTTTGAAAAACAAACAAATCATTCAGAAAGCTATCATTATGAGCACCAATAACTGATTCAAGAACAAATTTTAATAGCTCATAGAGATGATACTCATAAACGGTTAACAAACTATATTTTTCAAAAATATCATTACTACGATCTCGACGTTTTCTGAAAAAAATGAATTTGAGGACTTTCTTTTGTAAAACATAAAGTTGTTCCAGCTGCAAATAGCTGCAACATCCATAATTTAAAATGCCATACTCGAGAATGGGAACGACATTGCTACTGTAGTATTCGATCATTTGAGAACTCGGCACGTAGTGCCGTAGCTTTGAAACTATACCGCATTGTTTACTAAGTTTCTTTTTGACGAAATTGATATGACTTTTAAAACAGAATTTGGAGTCTATGTAAATGCCTAAATATTTACAAACAGGTTTCGTATTTATCGAGCAAGAGTTTAATTGAAATAAATGATTGGAAGCACTTAATTTTACATTCATTTGAACTGTTTTGGATAGGTTAATCACCAATTTATTTGCATGTAGCCAGTTATTTAGAGACGTCATGTCTTTTTGAACGTCAATTATTTGACAACCTATTGATGTTAGATTCATATCGTCTGCGAATAGCAAAACTTCCGATTTTTCGCATGCTTTAGGGAGGTCATTATATCTAATAGAAAAAGCAAGTGACCTAAAATTGAGCCTTGTGGTACACCACATTCTATTTTAATCCAGCTAGATGAAACACCATTTACTACAACTCGCTGTATGCAATTACTGAGAAATGAGCTCAACCATTTTAAACAGTTACCCCTAAAACCATACATATTCAATTTGTATAGCAAGAAATTATGGTCAATATTGTCAAAAACTTTCTTCAAGTCAAGGAAAAAACTAAAAATTTCATTCGAAGAAGGATGCATTCTAATTCTTTCGGTAAGTTCAGCAAGTGCATCAATTGTGCTATGCTTATTACGAAAACCAAATTGTTTTGCATAAAAGAGAGAAAAATTCTCTAAATAAGAATAAATACGGTTATTTATAATGCGCTAATAGATTTTACTCCAAACAATTAAAAGTGAAATTGGTCTATAATTGTTCTCATCAAGTTTTGATCCATCTTTATGAAGCGGCATTACTTTCGCTTTACAAAGTTCTTTAGGAAACGCGCCTTTTGTGAATGATAAGTTGATTAAGAAGCTTAGATATGGTGCCACGATTTTCGCTGAAGTTTTCACAATAATGATGTTACTGATGTTATCATCACCGGACGAGCTTTTATTATCTAGGTTATTTAGGACTTTAAAAATTTCTTTTTAGCATGTTTTTTTTCAGAAGCATGGAATATGGAACGTATTCAACGTTAAACCTATCAACATTAGGAACATCATTTTGAAGTCCTTTTCCAACTGTGGTGAAAAAATAGTTAAATTTATCAACAACATCTCTGTATGTTGCATTATCGTTTTCATCAATGCATGATTGCAATGGAGGAATCTTGCTGTTTTTGTTACTTTTACCACTGATATCGTTTAAAATTTTATATGTCTGCCTTGAGTCTCCTATACAGTTTTCGATCTCATAAACTTCTGAACGTTTGAAGCAGTTGATAATTATTCTGATTCAACTTCCATTTTTTGTGTGCATTATTTTGCTTTGTTCTAAGGTTTTTAAGTTTATTTGTGTACCAGGCGGGTTGCTTTGTGACCAAATTTTTCTTGGTTTTTAATGGTGCAAACATATTCAATACCTCTTCGGAAGATTTTGCGAACAAATTGAAAGCTGCATCTGCATCATTCATTTCAAAAATTACTATTTAATGTGAGGCCAATTTACTTTCCGCAATTTTTAAAAATTCTTCAACTTGGCTCCGACTTTTTAAGAATGATGTATCGCGAAACGGAATTTCATTATTAACAATTTGACACTTTATGACCCATTCCAAGCGTATTGGATAATGATCTGATAAACGTTCACTATTTAGTACCATTGAATGTGGTTCAGTTAATTTATCGAAAATGCAATGATCCAAACAAGTTGAAGAGGTGGCTGTAACGCGAGTTCGTTCAGGACCGTTTATCGAAAAACCATTTGAATGAGTACAATTTGAATAATTTTGGCTCAGTAAGTTATTAGGTATTATATCAATGTTAAGATCACCACAAAGAATGAACGGATGATTTGCACTTTTTGAATTTTCCAAAAACTCATCAAGCCTATCAATGAATTGCATTTTGTTTGATTTTAGTGGGTTATAAATCACACATAATGAGAATTTATAGCCATTTTTAAGATATCGACCGTTAAGCTTTCTTCTGAAAATGAATCAAGTTGATTCAGCAAGCAGCATGTGTTTCTTGCTTGGATCATTACACCACCACCTGGTGTTTCGCGATATTTTGTAAAATACTGATTATAACCATTGATTAACCAGCTTTGACTTGGATCATTTTTTGTTAACCAAGTTTCCGTTGTACAAATTATATCAGGTGGAGATTCAAGGCTTAGAATAAGTGCTTCCATTTTGTCGAAGTGCGGTTTTAAAGATCTTATATTTAAAGGTAGCACCAAAAGACGCTTATATTTTTCAAACCTTCTTTATCTGCCATCTTTTTTTTGTTTCGCAGCAAGTTGATTTTGGCGATTCTTCCGGCGAAACGAACGATAATTGGTTTGCCTCTATTTGAACGAGATGGCAATCGATGAGATATTGAGATATCTGACGCTTGCACATTTGCACCAATATCATGAGAAATCTCCACTACCTTCGCTATTGTTGTATCAAAGTTCTCACGATTATTCTCCCCTTCCAAACACTCGGGGATCCTAGAATTCTTAGGTTATCTCGTCGATTATATGATTCAAGTTTTTCTGCTTCAGATAAAGTCCTAAGATAGCTGATATTCGCCTGAGATGCTATTTCCATTTTGGAGGATGAGATGATTTCCTTCTTTATGTTGTTTATTGCGGACTCAACAGCGACGTTGATTGCAGTCATTAGTTGCGCTTTGATTTGCTCTGCAAGGCTAGGTATCAACAACTTCATTGACTCTTCAATGGTATGCTTCAGCTTCCCAGTCACATCGTCCTCTGAATTTTCTTCGTCACATGGGCTCAGTACAATATTTGGCCGTTTTGGTGTTGGTTTTGATATTGAAGTCTGATCATGATACCTCAGTCCCGGCACATCTATGTTTCTCTCAATTGAAATACCATTTGCATCAGTAGCATCACTAATCGAATCCATCTGCCCTCTCTGAAACTAATTAATAACTTTATCACAACAATTAGGCTAATTAGGCATATATATGCATAGTAAAATAAGAAAGTGAGCAACAATTTTTCTAAAAAATTGACTGGAAAAACAAAAAAAAAAAATCTTTTTTTTTGCAGAAGTTTTTTGAAATTTGGAGTTCTGATTCCAAAATGGCGCTAAAAACTCCCCAAAATAACTTTACTTGATTGAAACTAAGTTTTTACGGCTCAAATAAGAAAAAGTTTTGGAAATTTTTGGATGTTTTTTATGTTGCTCAAATCACGGCTGAAAGGGCTTTAATGTGATATTTCACTCAACTCACTCCAATGATTATTTGTGGTAACTGATTTTGTGTGGAAGACAAAACAATTAAAAAATGAAAAACCTAAATGCATATTTGCTCACCATTTTCAATGTTTGGAACAAAAAACAAATCCTTAATTGAAAATAAAACAATTATAGATGGTCAGCTTTTTCCGATTAATAAAACTTTTTTGTCGACGCAGCTTTTTCGCTTTTTTCGTTGCGTTAATAACTGAGAAAAAGACACAACTAAAAACTGAATCAGTTCTCAGTAATATATTGAACTGGAAATATGTTCATTTTTTGCATTGTGT